GGAGGGTGTGTGTGTTTGTGTGTAATGTAAGTGTGTGTATATATGTTGAAGAGCTTGAGTCTAAAATGGGACACTAGTTTCTGGTGGTGGCGATGTAGTCTTAATGTAGGGCAACTTATGAAAACACAAGCCAATAGACAAAATATGAGAAAGTTAGAAACATATCTTTACAAATTCGACAACACTCTTAACTGTGTGATCAATACCTTTGCTTGACTAAAAACCAATTGACCGTATACTGTACTTTAACATGTTGGAAATAATAAATAAATACACATATCTTGCATTGTTCTTTTCTGCTATACGGGAAGAGGAACACATTTTATTAGATGAAGCTTTATTGAACCATCACAATATCGAAAGGGAACAGTTTTATTTCTTATTTGTCTTTCCATACACCAGAGTCAAAGTCTGAACAATAAACAAATTGAATAACCTCTTAGTCATAACCTTACAGTAGTTATAAAAAGCAGTAATTGAATATCCATCATACTACTGATCAAAGTGCCATCAACAGATTTAATCTTTCCACAAACACGAGACACACGAATCACAAGATTGCTCATGCACTTTTATTGTTCATATCAGGAACGTTGCCAAATAAAGTGCTGTATAATGATATCACATTCACTGACGCCAGGGCCGGATAACAGTGTTGTAAATACTTTATATGGAAGATACACCTACAGTAGCAACATGTAAAACAGAAATGAGAAACAGAAACATCCAGGACATATTCTCCTTTCCCCAACACACTGATGTGTCTCTTATAGTGCCTTAGTGAATCCAATAATTGTTAACATTTGTGTTAAAGTTTCCTTTCCCTAAAATACATTATATTGCGATAAAATAAACCTCAGGCATTTCTCAGAGTGTAAACTTTAATATATCGTGTGTAAGTGTCCTAAAAGGTATGATTTTTGATGATAGTTGTAGACGCTGAGCTGTTTTATTTTCCCTAGGAGAGTACAAGCTAAAATTGGCTAAGGTGAGAAAGTATCGTTACTTACATTTCTAACCCCTTCAAAGAAGAGACATCGTAAGAAGTGATGGACATCTCAAACATCAATAATTGCAGCAACATAGCATCAAAAGGATAAACATTTTGGTGGGAAGATTATTTGAGGACGCTACACGTAAGGGAAGGGACATGTTTGGGGTTAGGAGTAAAAACGATTTCATGGTCAATTAGCAGATAAGGAAAGATCAGAGAAAGACATCTCACAGGGACGTTCGCACATAATATCATGAAATTAATTTTGCATATTTAGTTTAGCATCTGAGGATATAAAGGCAGTCAAGGCACATTGGCTGCTAATATACACACACGTCCCAAGTTTCCTGGAACTAGTGGAAAGTCCATGCTCGCTGTGCATCACAGATGGGACAGGTTTCTACCAACAGGAGACGGACGTCCCCGTTGTGGCTGGAAAGAGTGCAGTTGGATGTTAAGAGCAGACTCTTTGGCAGTAAAGAGAGCATCTGTGGACACATTAAGGAACGCCAAACAAAAAGTCACACCTACACCTAGAAAACAACTAGAACAGCATAGCCATTGTTGGTGGCTCGCAACCTTTACTTGAACCTTAAATCTGGGGAACTCCACTGATTTTAAACATCAACGTCTGTTTAAAGGTCTTTGGGGATTGCTACTTTGTGTGTGGAAAAAGTTGAATAAAGTCTTTGTTGCACTAAAAGGGAGATATGAAAGATCCGATAAATGTTCTCAAGTGATGTTACTTCAGTAGGCATCCAATCCTAAGTCCCGCCCCCCTTAGTTACAGTTGCAATGTACAGTAGGACAAGCTTGAAAAAGGAAACACTAAGAAGCAAACGCAAGGTGTGTACAGTATGCATTTGAGGGAAATATTCAGGGTGGTAACCTTCACTAAGGCAACTTTTGTCAGGAGGTTGGACTTTGTGTATATCAAAAAGAATTACCACCAAAAAAGTTACTTCTGTGCTGAACGTAGACTTACAGAGATAATATAAACAAAGTAATGTTGGGGTGGCTGTGGCGCAGTGGAATAGTAGGCTACGCTGGTGTTCGGATCAGAGGGGCACAGGTTCAAACCCCACTGCAGTCAGCTTGTCGTTGTGTCCCTGGGCAAGACACTTCACCCCAAATTGCTCCTGTGGGGATTGTCCACAGTATTGAATGTATGTAAGTCGCTTTGGATAAAAGCGTCTAACGAGTAACATGTAATGTTAGCCTTGAATTCTTCTGGCTAACGATGATTCACATCATCTTAAAAATATGTCAGCAACCGTCATTGGTGATCTGATATTAGGTCCTCTTTATTTAGTGTTGGCTAGCTAGTTAGCTCATGTTTAGCTAACATTAGCTAACTTAATGACGTTATGTTAAAAGCTTGATGTGACAATAAACAATGTAATATGTAGGTCAAGGTTGCAACAACAATGTACTGGAGGTTACATAGTAATCTTAGCTAACATACGTAGCATATCAGTTTAAAAGGAAATGGGAAAGTTGTTTCTGCTGTGACCAAGCTTGCTCTACTGTTATTGGAGCACAGAACGAAAAGGGGTGAAACCTAGAAAGGGCACAAGTACAAATTTGGAAATAATGTTAGAAAAAAGTGAGTTTACGACATTAGCTTCTGCTAGCATAACAGGACAACGGACTAAACTCCCTGGGGTAGAGTTGTATTGTGGGTAATAAAGTAGGCACTAGTTAATGTTTGATTTCAAATATTTTCTTATAGGCCTATAGGTAAAAACTAACCAGGGATTAGAGAAGTTTAAAAAAATACAACTAAATTGGAGTAGTGGTAATACGTTTCTTTTTCCTACACCAGTAAACATTGTGGAGGTCCTCCTGCACGGACACCACTGCTTAACAAATACTAAAGTATACACCAATTTACAGGGATACAAAATAAAATACAGTATTTCTGTCAATAACAACATATATTTCATATTGATTGGTACCATTCTGGAGTGAATTTATTTGAGAAAATACCTTCTCTTTTACTGCCCTCGTTGTTTTCAAAGCAATCCATATCTAAATGTGTCAAGTGTCATTGTGCTCACTCTGCATCTCTGCTCAAGTGCTTCTGCATTTCCTATGCATATGTTATGATCATTGTAACATTTCACTTGTATTGCCATGATTTACTGATTAAACTATTCACACAAAAAATATATACTCATTCTCATGAATAGAGGGAAAAAGGCACCAGTTTTCCTGCTCATTTAACACTCAAGAACAGTATTTCAGGAAAGATCATTCTATGTGAAGCTGCTCTAAAATACTGTAATATATCATGAATACTTCAGCATGCGGCTTTTAAAACTGTTTACACTTCATATACCTGCTCACTTCATTATAATGGCATAAAGGAACATGTGTGTATGGATTATGTTGAACTTAAAAAGAATACTTGAGGCATGAGGCAAATTGTGGTGAACAAACATGAATAATGAGCGTCCGTTTCTTAAAATACAGTTTTATTTGTGAATTTACACTGATTAGCAATACATCTAAGAGCAACTCCATTAGATAACCATTTATATAGGATTTTCACAGGTCACAAAATAGCTTGGCTCATTCTGGCATGCCAAAGCAAAGGTTGTTTTTTTTAAACAGAAAAAAGATGGATAGAGGCATTAGTAAAGCAAGGTGCAAACAGTCGGAAACAGAGGAGGTGAAAAATAAAGGGATGCAATGCACATTCAGTTCATCTGGGAGCAATTTATGCTCGTAAAATGGTTAATAAAAAAGCCTAGTGCTATCTGCAAACTAAAAGAAGAAAAAAAGCGCAGTGCGATACAAATGGAGGATGAAAACAATAGTTTCCAGAAGGAGAGATGGTTTGAGAAAAGAAGACATTTTGAGTGATAAAAACATGGTGCGTTAGTGTCAGGTTTTTCCTATATAGGCTACTACACACACATAAGCACTTCCATTTCCAAACTCACACCTCCTTTCTCTATCTCTCAGTTGTGTGACCTCAGCTCTTTACCCAGAGCCAAAAGCTATCATTTAACACAGCTAAAGATGTGTCCCTAAACCCTGCCCCCAAATCCAATACTTCACATTGCTAGCTGGGATATTGGTACATCTGGTTAAACTGCGGGGGGGGGGGGGGGGGGAGAATATGTGGCAACCCATCACACTTTGGCTTTGCAGAGTTCAACTGTGGGTCAACTGACAGTTACCACACCAACGTGTTTACAAGAGAAATTACATGAGGGGAGGCTTTAGACGCTGAAATGACAAGCGGGCTCGCAGAGCAAGCAATACAAATATAATGTCCACATGACCTCCAAAATGTTCCAGTTGCAGGAGGGAAATAAACGGAGAATTAAGAGAGGAAACGTAGCTGCTATAAATGCAGCTACAGAAAAAAGTTTTTGGGGAGCCTGAGGGGTGTCGATGCAGTCACTGGGGTGATTTTAGGGAGGTTTTGTTCGGCTCCTTGACGCCCATGCAGGCAGACGAGAAACGCAACCCTTGTCTCATTATTAAAAACAATGGTGGAAAAAGTTATTACAATATGGCTTAAAAAAAACACAAACACACCAAACTAAAAGATGTCACCTCTTCGAACTCCACGACCCCCAATGACTCATTTGAGCTGGCGACTAACGGTAGTTTCCGCACTACACTTCCTGTTTTGTTGAGAAGTAGAGATCATTCCTCACATGTGACACTAATGAAAGATAATTCTTTCTCCATTTGACTCACTTGCTGGGTCCTGACCTCTCTCTGGCACCGTGCCTCGCTTGCTACTTGCATATCTTTTATCAGAAACTTCACAATTTCCTTCACTGGTGAAACCACCTGCCACTAAATGTGTTATATACCACGAGAAAAGTGCAGCACAATAAAATAAAAAATATATCGTTAAAAATCTATAGCCAACATATCCAGTTTTCATATATCTGTGTTATATAGTACATTTGTGTACTCTGTACTATTAGAATAACATTTGAGCAATCAGGCATTACTTCAGGACATAGTCAGCCGTATAAATTCAGTTCTTGCAAAAAAGAGAAAACATGCGTAACATCTGTAATTCTCTGTAAAACTTACAAATGAGTACAAAACAGAGTTGACTAATACCAAATTTGTGTTTGATAAAAAAAGATAACATTTCATGAGATGAAAAACAGTGACGCTTTACTAAAGTTAGATTGTTTTTCTTTTCTTCCATTTAGTTTGGCAACCCCCCTCCCCAAATAAAAAAAACATTGAGATGAAGAGGAGAAGATATGAAAATGCTACATAAATATTCTGAGATTGTGTCAAAGTAGTTGTGCTAAACTGCCAGCCTTCGTCCTCACTATCCACTCTTAAAGTCGTCTTCTTGTTCGACCACAATCAGCTGAAGAGAAGTTACAGAAGCTCGGAGAGAGCGGTGAGAAAACCTCAGTAAATAAATCAACTCAAACCCTGTGGCTGTTTTTTCTGAGACCAGATTTCCAGTGTGACTTAAAATTTCATGCAGCCTCTCAGTTCCCTATTCAGAGTCAGGTGACCAGAAAACAAAACATGAAAAGACCGGAGGAGTCTTAAAAGAAGGTCTAGTTTCAACTTGTGCAGTTTTACAACACAATTTATTTTGTAGCAAGCAATACTCGAGGTGGTTTCAAGTTATATTTTCGGCCTGGGAAACGCCACAAGAGGAGCCAGTTATTCAGGATTTAAATCTCCTCAAATGACCCCCGAAGGCCTCTGAAGAGGACTGTTAGGGTGCTGCCTAGGTGAAGAGGTTATAGACCCCCAACCTGCTGCAGCTTCAATCTGTGGCACCGCATGCTCATCACAAACTTTCACAAACATTATTGTCTTTTTTGCAGAAGGAGATTTTTCTGTTGCAAACCAATTCCTTTTTTATGTAATCCGTTCTACTGCCTTTTGCACATAAAAGCATTTGTTAAAAAAATAAAATAAAATAAAAAACATAAGAGGACATTGAAAACGGAGACAAAGTAAAACCACAGACGTTAACAGAACGGCCGCCGCCCCTCTTTCTTCTTCTTCTTCAGACGGCGCTCTGTCTGCTCTCAGGCCTCCGTCTTCTCTTTCTTTTTGTTCATCTTCAGGAAGGACGGGGTGCGGAACTTCTTCTTCTTCTTGGTGTTGGGCGACTTGGAGGGCGAGCTCTCAGGGGACAGCGCCTCTTTGATCTTCTCGCTCGAGCGCACAGTGATCTCCACGCTCTCCACGCTGGTGGTTAGCTGGCTCACGCGCTTGCACAGATCTGTGTCCACGTCGCCGTGGTCCTCTTTGCCGTTCATAAGGCCCGTGTGGTTGTCTGAGGGGGGAGGGGGACACAGGTCGGGGGAGGGGGGACACAGGTCGGGGGAGGGGGGACACAGGTCGGGGGAGGGGGGACACAGGTCGGGGGAGGGGGGACACAGGTCGGGGGGGGACACGGAACAAGAAACAAAGACATGTCAGTTTCACTATTAACAGGGAGCACACACAACTCATAAATACTCATATGACTAATGTGAGTACAAAGTTCTCATGATGGAGTAGACTATGTGAAAAATAGTGAGATGCTAAATCTGATGGTATAAATAAAACATTTCCTATAAAATATATTTGTGGTAAATAATATGTTGAGAAATAACAAAAATAAACTAAAACCAGCACGCACAGGCTAAAATAAGTCATAAAAACCTTTAGGGATATGTTGTTATAGCGAAGTATAATTTTTGGCTTTCCAGTTTTTGCAATTTCAAATCCTTAACATTCATTTAATCAATTATATTATCTTTTTACTTTTATGCTAACCGTTTAATTTGATCAGTATTTATCAGTAATGAATCCATCAGACAAGGACTGAGCTTGCCAACGTGAACAGCTGTAACAGTTTTAAGAATAAATGACAAACGGCTTGTAAATAATATAATTACAGAATAAAAACAAGCCCAACTTAAAAAAGACAATCGACCAAATACTCTCCTGCAGTCGCAACTAAAATGCTAAGTCATAGGCTAAGGACAAAAGACTTAAATTAGCATGTTTGCCAACTACTAATGTTTATTACCATGGTCTATCACTATCAAATAAGAATATATTAATAAGCTTCTCCAAGTTATAGTATTTGCAGGAGTACTGTGTTGCGTTGTATTTTACAGGTCTTCATGTGGTTGTGTCTAACCTCACAATGCTCATGTGACCGATGTGAGGCTTTGCTGCATTAAACCCACCGTTACCATCTGAACTGCGCGATGAACTTTTGCTTCACTCGCAGAGACAGGCTGTCCCAGTGCTCTACATATTTAATGACGTGCCTGTGTTAAAATCCAGTGACCTGATAGCCAAGAGTCTGTCCTCCTTTTATCCTAAAAAAAGGGGCTTAAACCCACTCTCTTAATGAGTGTTATCGTAACAGTCCTGCTAATGTCACATCACTCTCTATATGTGGAGAATGCACCTATTGTAATATAAAATGTGAAAACAAAAACGACTTATTTTCATCTGAGTAAAAATAAAAAAGCAGACACAATTAACAACAACTCACACAACAATTGACCTGGTTTCAGCACAGCTACAGGCTGACCTCATAGTTGTGGAGTCAGAGAATATGGGTCCCCTGAGCCAGTGTGAGCCGTTGTGGATTAATTGTTACTCATTGTGTGGTTTTGAGTGTTTGTACTGGGGGGAAGCTGACAGGAAGTCAATCTCAGTGTCATTATTTACAACCTGTGGAGAGGCCGCTGTGATCTTTGTCTCTCTAAGAGGCAACATACTGGCTTCAAATGTCAGACACAAGAATGTCTGGCTAATAGATATGGGACTGTAGATCTAAATGGCAGCAAGAGACATTTAATACCCAGAAATCATGTGATGTGACATCATAGCAAGCTCATGTTTCCAACCCGGCAGGTCTGTTTAGACAATTTGAGTTGGCAGTGCATATAAGGACACTCCAACATTCAAGACGCACAGTTAGCTAGCTAAAGACTTTGTGATCAATATTTTGAAAACAAATGTAAATGTTGTTGTTCATTAAATCGGTCACACATATTGTAACTATTGAACTCTGTAAAACACTAAATTCGCTATTGTGTGACACCTATGTTGTTTTTAAAACGATAACATTTGAATTCTCAATTAAAGCCAATGAGGTTATAGAAGATTTATTTGTGCTTAACATCTTAATGCTGAGCATGTCATACCATCACCTGGCTCTTGCTTTATACTTTATGTAAAGACATGAGTGGTATTGATATTTTTTTCTGAATCTTGGCCAAAGTAAATCAATTAAATCAACATTTTCCCAAATTGTAAAACCATTACTTTACAATCAGATCCAGAGGACAAAGAATAAAGCTAACATAGCTATTATGAATTAATGTATGTACATTTGGTATTGAATCCACTTCTGAAATGTGACATGTCCCTGAATGCCCCAACAAGGCAGGCAGTTCAAGTAAGGTTAAGAAAATTGCTGCTGTAATGAATAATAACTAAGTCCTTCCAACTTGATTCTGATATTGTACTGAAACGAATGGAAACGGGTGGATCTGAATCTGTATTTGTGTTCTCAAATGTATAAACATGTGCTTTAAAAACTGTCCTCTGTTATGTTACTCGAGCGAGAAAGTGCTCTAAAGGTTGTTTCATCACTCCTGCTGGGTATGGATGAGTTCTAATGACCAACAGCAGCTATGTATTTAGGATACATATCTAATGAGGTTTAGAATAGAGTTGATGGGATATTATTGCGGTTTCATTACAGTAGGAGCATTGCATCCTCATAGCACGGATCAGGCATTGCATAGGGAGCTTTTAGTCCATTTCATATTAATTTGCACACACACTTAAACACATCTGGTGTTAAAGACACACAGCAAGGCACTGAAGATCTTTCTGACACAGTGTCTCTCCCCCTGGGTGAGTTATACCTTCTTTAGCTGGAGTGCTTTGCGGAGACTGGGGGAGAGAGAGAGACTGAGAGAGAGAGGAGCCGTCGTCGGAGGTTAGCTCGTGCTCTCCATCTGCAGGCAGGGGGGAGGGAGGGATGAGGGGATTGCAGGGTGGTGTAGAGGATTGAAGTAGCAGGACGACAGCAGGGGTGAGTGGGATGAGAGGTTGGGGAGGGGGATGAAGGGAGAGGGAGGTGAGGGAGTTTGAGAGATTAGTGGTAACACACATGTTAGAATCAGGCCATGCACAGCTGCTTTGACACAACATTTACAAAAGTCCTTGTCTGTTCATCCTCACTCGTTTGTCATGTGATTCTCCTAGTGGCTGTAATATTGTATTGAGCCTTAAGATCCCACTGATATGCACAGGCGCCCGGACAGGAAACCTAAGGGCTGACGGTGTTATTTCCAGAGCAGCTAGCTCCCTGTGACACATGCTAACACAAAACCTGCTAATAAAGTGGGTTATGTATTACCGCTTTCAAATATGATGCATTATCAGGCACTTTTAAAGAGAAGGAGATGAACTATATCAACAGCTAGGGCTGAGAATTATAGGTGGATTTGATGTTTAGTGATGATATTGTTAATCAAAATAATACTTTTTAACAATCTCTGGTTAAAAATTCACAAAAAAGCTATTTAATTAGTATATAGATTTGTGTCACAATATTTGAGTGTATATACGATTTGACAGACATATGCTTTATGTCACTGATTCTCTCCTTATTATTTAGAAAATCTACTTTTTATAGAATTGCGACATTGATTAACCTTATCTCTCGGGTAATACAAACTTTCTATGGGCTTCATTTCCTTACTCTTCTAAGGAAACTGTTGTAAAAGATCCACTCCTGCCTCCTGAACTAACTAAGCACTTCTGGACTAAGTTTCTGTATCACTCACATGATGAAATCAGCTTTTAAAACAGCTTCTGTACATATCGAGTAAATGTTAGAGTCTAGCTCAGCTTTAGCAGCTTCATTAGTTTTAAACACTGATTCGTGTGAATGAATGACATTCCCATATCACTTACCCAACACATGAATTAGCACATTCAGGGTTACACATACAGTTAGCGTCACGGCATATAGAACAGGGTTGCATAACAGCCTGGTGTGTGCATGTTACATCTGTATCAGATGTAACATGCATAAAGTCACGTTTTGAAGAGTGAACCCAGTTTGAAGTTGTTGCATTTTTTATTAGAGAGTAAGCTGCATGCGTGTTGTCATGTTAAAAAGTACTTAGACCAATAAAAGTGCACCTCAAAGCAATTATGGCTGCAATATGCTCCTTTATACTTCACCGCATGTGCCTAATTGTATTAGATTTGACAATTATACTTCAAAAATGATATACAGGGTGGACTTGACACACCTCATCACAGGCAAAACCTTTGTGTGTGTGGTTGTATGTGTGTGTGTGTGTGTGTTTGTGGCCCAGGCATATATCAGGGCACTACAGACGGTCTCCAGCTTGCACCCAGATTGGCCACCGGGGATTGGTGGGGCTGTGGGGGCAACAGTGTCATAGCAACGGGCTCCGATCATGTGGCGGGTGTGAAGGCCTGCTGTCTGTTCGGTCTGCTATCTTAGTCACACCGGCCTCTCTTACAGTGCAAGTACACACACACACACACACACACACACACACACACACACACACACACACACACACACACACACACACACACACACACACACACACACACACACACACACACACACACACACACACACACACACACACACACACACACACACACACACACACACACACACACACACACACACACACACACACACACACACACACACACACACACACACACACACACACACACACACACACACACACACACACACACACACACACACACACACACACACACACACACACACAACACACACACACACACACACACACACACACACACACACACACACACACACACACACAGTGCTTCATATGCACATAGGGATGATCCGTAGATGATCCTATGAACACATTTGAATGCTAACACACGTACGCACACACATGTGTACACACACACACACACATGTGTACACACACGTGCGCACACACATGTGTACACACACGTGCACACACACACACACACACACACACACACACACACACACACACACACACACACACAGTGTGTTAGATTATGGGAGCGTCCCATGGGGTAGCGCAACAGGCCCTGATATTATAAAACTGCTGAGAGACTACAGATATAAACTCAAAATGTTCAGAAATCAATCTGCAAATCAAAGTTTAAAGAGGACAAGGAGAAGCAGATTTGCCACTTTAAAGAAATCCTGATTTGGTTTCAGGCTCAGTTTGAAATCTGCTCCAGCTGTTTTAGCCGATTATAAGTGCTTGACGTTGTCAGATGGTGCTTGTTAACAACGTTAACAGCTTCAGCAGGACGTGCTCACATCTGGAGGAGAGGGTCTCTTCTTTTTCTGCAGTTGAAAGTCTCCCAGACAAATGGAAAAGCTCATGGAGCCGACTATAGTGGGAAGAAGCCTGATACTTGTTAGAGAGAGTTATCTGCGAGATTAAAGAGGAATTGAAGAAACCCGGCGCAGAGCGCTGCTTCTCACCTCGGTGCCAGCTGGGCCGGGTTAAGTCAACCAAAATAAATCAAAGTTACAGCGCACACCAGGAGATTAAGGAAGGCACTTTTTGTATTTATTGAAAGATTACAGGAGAGATCTATGGGCCAGAGTTCCCGTTAGAATATTTTTTCACCGGTCAACATGTCCGTTAAAGTTGAAATCTTCCGGACAAAATGAGAAAAGTGCCGGTCAAAGGTCTTCTTTGTTATTTATTGTGCTTTAAAACAAATTGATATGATTCGATATTAAACAAACTAATTATAGTAGATTAACTATTCAAAAGTGAACAGTAATTTACAATAACACGGGAACAATAGACGGAGCGATCTCTCCCTCTCCTGACAGCCCGTCAGTATCATGCAGCTCGCGGATCAGTAATGAGTGACCCGACAGTAAAACTAAACATATCTATAACTAGTTTAGGTAGTTTGAGAGGTCATTAAAATAGCTACGTGTGATATTCTAACCTGAAGTGTGTGTTTTGTTCCGCTCATCGCTGCAGGTGATCATGCAGAGCTGCTTGTCGACTCGTCAGCAGCAGCTGATCTCTCTCTCCCGTCAGATTAGACTTCACTCGCGTTTATGTCCATATCGATCAGATCTAGCTAGTTCTAGCTAATGATAGGACTACCTGCTTATTAAAAGACACCTAAACAATAAGTGTCGCTATGCAACTGGGTGAGGCCACAAAGTATAGCGCAGCATTATGCATTTGTTTACATGCCCACCGGAACCCTGAGGCATTACCAACAGATCAACGCACAATCAACCCATACAGGAAATCTCTTTCTCCACAGTAAGCGTTAGACACAACATTAGAATTGACTATTCTTGTCTGTCACATACTCTTTTGTCTGTCACATAAATGGCGCAAATTGCGCAACTGATGTGGTATTGCGCTCAACGGAAATTATTTTGAACGGACACTTTGACCGGAGAGATTTAGATTTGCCGGTCTTCAGCATATTTTACCGGTCGTAGTCCGGTAATTACCGGCTAACGGGAACTCTGCTATGGGGGCTTGTTTTTAAAAGAACCTGTTAATAAATCAGCGTCTAACCTAGTATCCTGGTGTGCGTTGGCACTTTGATATTATTATATTCACTGAACAGATTTTTTGAGGCTAGTGAAATATCTTGGAAACATTTAACCCTTCTATTGTGTGTGTTTGTGTGTGACAGGTGTGATTCACATGGGGGGATTGGGCACATAAGGGGGGGAACACATTTAGAGTATGTGTGTGTAGTGCTGCGTACCTGGACTCACATTCAGGTTCAGGTCCGGACTCAAGTCCAGAGGTTCAGGTTCAGGTCCGGACTTATAAGTCCGGACCTGAACCCATGACTTGTGTCAAGTTGTGTGAGTAACTAAAGTGAACTTATTGTGAGCTAATTATCAATTGAAAATAAACTCATAATCAACTCAAATTCAAACTCATCAGGTTTATTGTGCTCCCTTCCAACTTGTGTCTACATTTCTCTACAAAGTACAAATGTAAAAACAAATGTAAAAAAAACACTTTTTGCCACTTAGTCTACAAATGACTTATGACAGCAACTACAGTGAACTACTACAAAGTTCAAACCTTTTTTTCATTTACCAAACTAAAGTAACCAAACAGTCCCTGAGCTGACAGCCTAAATCCCTAAAACGTTGCTGAAAGGTAGAGTGTAGAGTAGACTATACGCATTACACTGTTACACACCTACTATACAGTATACACTGTAGTGACTGTACAATCAGAGTGTACTGCACCATGTATTTTCTACAACTCTACATGTGTACATTATACAGTACTACATACATCGTGATGTACATACATACTGTTAGAAATTAAAATCAATGTTGATATGGCGTAATTTTGAATTAAATACACTATTTAATTTAAATCAGTTTTATTCTGAAAAAAACGGAAGTTCACACTATTAATTTAATAATTTTATTCTGAAAATTATTCACTTCCGGTTAGCATTAGCATGTGGCGAAATGCTACGTTTTCAAACCGTGAATCGAAGGTGAAATGACATGTGATGTTGTACACTGAGCACACTGGGATTAGCACTCATTTATTGAGGCTGAATAACGTTTATCAGGGAATGTTTAAATAACCACAGACACCAGAATATACGTAAGTGCTAGTTTTTTTTGCGAGTCCAAGTACCGGTTCCCGACGTTCCGGTTTTAACCGGACTTGAACCGAAACTTTTTACAAATCCAGTACCGGTTCGGCGTACCGGTACGCAGCACTATGTGTGTGTGTGTGTGTGTGTGTGTGTGTGTGTGTGTGTGTGTTTTATCTGATCCGGATGGTTACTAATTCATTTTCTTTATGGCGGTCATTTTTGACCGGGAACACCATGGGTGTTACAAAGTTGACTAAATCATCCAAAATGCAATGCAAGTGGTGATCAGCAATTGTATATGTTCAAATGTCTACTGTGAAGGATATCATAAAGCCTTAATGCAGTCGAATGTAAAACAAAAAAGTTATGATTGATGAAAGTAGTAAATCGGTCAGATTTGACCCGAAGACAACAGGAGGGTTGAATATGATAATTGTACATTTGACAATATTATTTGTTTAAACAAATGCTTTTCGCGTTGAAACCTCAGATGTTGTTTTGAGTTGAGTTGCAATAAAGATACTGTGGGGGATTTTTTCATAGTTTTAAAAATAATTTGACTTAGACGACCGTAATAGCAGCATTTTGTGAAATGTAAAGAGAAATTATGAATGATGCGTTAGAATCCTACATATAAAAACATAAACGCGGCAAATTGAATTTTCTGCCTAAATATAAACCGATATGTTGGTTGATGATATATCAGCAGGGACATCTTTGGGGACAGCAAAGATCGGCTGCTCGCTGAAATCTGACAAATTTGGTGACAAATCTCGCTGGCTCCAATCTCTTTCTGCAGCTTTCTAAATTGTGGCTTCACAGATTGATTATTGATTGATTGTTTTAAATCTGCACGAAAATCTGTCCTTACAATATCCTTTACATATCGATAGGGTTGTCTGCGGCTCACAGTCTTTGGCATTGAGTAAAAGTCACTCGACTGTATGTGTGTGTGTGTGTGTGTGTGTGTGTGTGTGTGTGTGTGTGTGTGTGTGTGTGTGTGTGTGTGTGTGTGTGTGTGTGTGTGTGTGTGTGTGTGTGTGTAGGTAGGTAGTCCATATGTCTCTCAGTGTGACTGGGTTTGGTGTTTTCAAGTTGAGCATGAAATATTTCAGAATAAAATCCACACACCTATGAATATCTGCACTGGTGTGTTTGCGTTTTCATGTATTTCCAAGTGTGTGTTTTGAAGTGTGTGTGTCGTACCACTGGGGCCGAGCTGCCTCCTCTCCACGTTCTTCTCCGACAGCTCACTGAAGGGGTTTGGAGGCAGGGGAGCCATCTGCTCCTCCTCTGTGGGCACGTATGGCTGAGGGGGAGACAGGGAGAGGGGTGAGAGGGGAGCACTCACACACAGAAACCATCCCGAGTCACACACACACACACACACACACACACACACACACACACACACACACACACACACACACACACACACACACACACCACACACACACACACACACACACACACACACACACACAACACACACACACACACACACACACACACACACACACACACACACACACACACACACACACACACACACACACCACTTCAGGGGACATTACATTGACTTACATGCATTTCCTGGAGACTTCTCCTAACCTTAACCAACACATGCCTAACCCTAAACCTAACCAAGTCTTCACCCTAAAATTAATGATTCCCCTTATGGGGACCTCCATCTTGTCCCCATAAGTGAGGCGAGTCCCCACACATGACTGTGTAAACAGATTTAGGTCCCCACAAGTATAGTAATGCTAGGCGCGCCACACACACACACACACACACACACACACACACACACACACACACACACACACACCATCATACTCACAAAACAAGTCATGCATGCACACCTACAGTACAAAACACATATAACAACATGTCTGCTTAGATTTGTGTGTTAAAATATCTCCTTAAAACATCATGCACAGACATAACAACTCTTTTCAAGATCTCACACGCAGGAAAACAACAAGTTCAACTTTGAATAAACAAAAAGGACATTTTGTGAAAATTCTGTGTCAATCATCAAAAATGACATAATGATAAAAACATGCAATGTCTTTCTGTTCTGAACGGGGAAAAAAGGTGTGAACAAAAAAGACACCACTGAAATGGCAAACATTTAAAAACACTTGTGGATATTTACCAGAAGGTTTATCTGCACCAGATCCTTCAAAAACAAGACACCAGCCACAGAACCATCAGCATTGAGAATGTCTAAACGTGTGTCTTTCCTATTTATTTATCACTGTTTATTAAATCGTTCCTGTTAATAGCTATGTACAGTAACACTTCCAACCTACTAGATGTTCCTTGAGCCTTTGCTAAATGTTCTCTCTTGCCTCCTCCTGGTGGCTGAGAGGTGTCATTAGACTGTCTCTGCTCCTGATGTGGATGATGAAACGCACCAAAGGAACGCCGACACAGGTGTTTCCACTTGTGTCCAATCAGCCAGAACAACTGAGAACACCTTTGAGTTATTGCTCAATAAAAAACTAATTAGGGAAATGTGCAGTGTTGCTTTAGTGCAGCAGGGAGGCGACACATACTGGAGATTTTTTTTTATTTGCCAGAATCCTTCTACCTACGTATGTGTAGTGTCAAATATGTCAAAGTCTCTGATTCTGAACAAAATAGAGAGAAACACACTTCAGAACATCAGTAATGTATATGCTATTGCGGCTGTGTGTAATTTGTAAATTCAAATTATTTATTTATTTTAAATTTATTTTAAAAATGCCTTAAAAATCCATGAAGATCTAATTTTTGCTGCCAAAGAACTTGCATTGAACTGATAATCCTTTCAGCAGGAAGCAAAGCAAATCTGTTAGGTTTGTTAAATCAAACAATGCTTATTGTTATTTCTTGTGTTACAGGTCAAGTGTAGACATTCATCAAAACCAGACCAAAATCAGGTTTTCAAGGTTAGCAAACAAAGTGTATTTTTGATTTGAAGTTATGAAAATGGAAGAAAGCCCTACCCGTCGCGGTTCATCAATGGGGATTCCTGCAAGGTGCTGAGAGCGCGGCCCGGACGTCATCATATCAAACCGGTTCTGCTCTCTGATCTGAGATAGGACAAAACACACAATGACGTCATCAGGAAAAGTGACTCGTGACTTTCTTTAATTTAAAACTGAGGCCAAGACGATTCAGACTTCAAATATAAATGACAGAACAACCTGTATGGTCCAGTGCTCACTGAGGGCCCTTTCACACCTACGTTGTTTTGTGTCTTTCAAATGTTTCGGTTCCAAACCAAAAGTACAGATGTGAAACCTCGTCTGACCCAGAATGCTGAATCTTGGACCTACATAAAGAAGTGGTGTTGTGCTGAAGATAACTGAACCACTTTGTATTGAATGTTAAACGTTTCTTGTATTGTTCAGACTTCTGGAACAGTTACAGGAAGTTTCGCCACGCTATCAAATTATAGGGGAAGTGGAGCACAGTTTTGAAAAGCTTAGTGAAGCTGTTTGGTACAGCGAGAGAGAAAGAGACGGTATATGCCCTGCACACAGAGCAGACTGCATGAGGAGAAATGAACACTGTGTTGTTTCAGTTTGTATTTTGGCAAACACTGCATCTCCTCAAAAAAGTCCTGGTGTCGACATGTCAAATAAGGAGGTGAGAGCCTGTCTACACCACTCACATAGGTTATATATATATATATATATATATATATTTTTTTTTTACAAGATGTACCAAAAGAAGAATGTTGTTTGGACTTTCAGATGTGAAAACCTGCTGAGAGAAGAGAGGAGTTTGACTCACTTTGTTCCTCTTCTGCTGCACCTCACTGGGATCTGTGTTGAGAGGGACGAACTGATTGGGGTCCTCGATCCGGATTGGGGTTCCTGTCTCTTCAGCCTTCATCCACTGTGAAAACAAGTAAGATAAACACTATCTGTTCAAAACATAAACCAGCCAAAACTGTAAATATACGTATGAACTCTACTGAGACAATTTATATGAGAACCCATTTATATAACACTTTAATTAAGGCACTAAATAGCTAGAAACATGAACCTGGGCAACTGAATCAAAAATAAATGCAGTTCTTTATTCAGCCAGTAGATGGCGACCTGGTATCAAGTTTTAACCACTCAGGATCAACCAGTCAAAACAAAGTACTTTCAAGTACACTAAACTGGATGACAAGTCAGGCTATCATGAATGTAAATAAACATGTTAAACCCTTAGGAAAAAGATCAGTCATCAGTTATCTCCAAACCTTTAGAAATGAAAACAATACCTCATGTCTTTCAAATCATCTTACACACACTCACTCACCGTGGTGGTCCTGCTGTTGTAGCGCTGCTCCTCCCCCCCCTCCACGTTGACCTTGGTGTAGCTGTTGGGCGAGTTGAGCCAGCGCGTCTTCTCCCTCTGCTGCCGCTGCTGCTGGAACTTAAAGGGCAGCCGCGTGGCACAGTCCCCGTCCTCCTCGAACATGAACGCTGTGACCGTGGCGGGGATCTCCACCTCGCTCTTGTGCCTGGGCTTCTCTCGCATGATGGGGTGTCTGTAGGCGTGGCCCGTCCTGTAGCCCTGACGCAGGAAACAAGATCACAATTAGTCTGTTTCCTTTCGTATGAGTTTAAAGTTTTGCAATAACCAGGGAAAAAGAATCCAATGGAGGCTAATTCATGCATTTGTTCTTTTCTGATGTGTTTATGCAGTCCCCATTTGACCTGTGCTCAATCCTGTTTACAACACGAGAATTATAAATGGTGTTAGATCGTAGCTCACTTCATTATACACGCATACTGATGCATTCAGTGTTTCATTTTTGCACCAGAAGGATCAGAAATGAGCATTTGTTCTGTGACTCTTGCTTCCTGTAACGCTGGCTGAGCTGCCAGTGTCGCAGTTAGTGAAATGGAAGAGAAAGAGAGACACAGTGGTGTGGCCACAGGGTTCTGGCAGCAGAGGACAGAGTGAGAGAGCCATTTCCTGTCTGACCCTCTCTCTCCATCCCCCCTCCACCAGTCATCCCTCTCCTCTTTATTCTCATCTCCCCCTCTCTCTCTCTGTCGCTGAACTCTCACTTGGTCCTGCTGTTCGTCAGAACGTTTTTCCACACTCGGCTTGACAGTGAAGTTCCGTTTAGTCCTTCTCTATTCATGTCAGCACCATTGTCACAGTGGACCTTTTAACTTGAATTGACCTCCCTTCTTTTTATGCAGACAGTCAGCTGAGCTGTTCTTTTCCCCGCAACATCTTGCCGCCCATTTTCTACACGTTTAATCAGCTCGTGTTTTGGATCTGTAAACCTGTTGCTAAGGGATGTGGAGAGTAGTTACTGTCATTTCCCCCCCACTAATTCTCGTAACCTTTCTGGGTCTTGTACTGAAAACAAGGGCTTGTCAGATACAAATGCTGCGATAATGAGGTGTCAGGAAAGATAGCAATGACGCTGGGATGAGCTGTTTAGAGTCTCAAAGTGCTGAGAGGCAGTGACTCAAAGAGGAAAGAGCAGAAAAACAAAGAAATAAGTGAGATGAAGAGTGTCGGATGTGTAAGAAGGTGACACAAGTAGTGACGAGACTAAGAAAGACGATAAGAGGAGCTCAGACGGAGAGAGAGTGAAGACATTCCCCAATGACCACATCTCTTTGTGGTGATGCAACATTAGTGTGTATAATTGTGTCCTTTAAATTAAATCTCTCCCTCCTCAAGCTGTTTCTGAATTGTGCTTACTTAATGACATTTGTACCCAAGCATTAACCCTAACCATGTAGGGGGCGCTCTTTTCCAACTCTGTATCTACCTAGTCCCTCTTTAGTTGATTTCAATAAATACAAGAGTGATTATTAAAACAACCCCAAAGGATGTAATACATTGAAGCAATGCTAATAGGTTGTGTTGCTATTTTCTATTTGTAATGAATGACAAAGCCAAACAGACATTACGTTTAATACAATTGAAGGACTTGTTTTGTATTAAAATGTCTCAAAAGGCCAAATCATGATGTCAACAAAGGAAAATAAATCCTCTGAGTATTCTCACTTCATAAAACACACAACATATGTGAAAATGGTTAATCCAATCAAGTTGCTTAATGACCCCGAGTCATTTGATAATCAAATAAGTGTTATTTTCCTTTCAGTGTGTTTGTGTTGAATGTGGGATATTCTCAGTTTGATGTCTGTGGACTCACCAGGTTATCCAGCATCCTCATCAGAGACTCAAACTCCAGCTCGCCACACTTCCACTTGTACTGGCCACACATGTTGATTTCTGCTGTGGTCACGTCGTGCGTCGATGATTTGTACTTCTGTTGGTCCAGCACTATCAGGTTGTCTACGCCGCCAGCACACGAGATGGCCTTTACCTACAATCACAAAGAGAGGAGTCTGTGAGCATCCACTGCGGCTAATAAAATACAAAAAAAGACAAAGACACCTTTCATAGCATTACGTCTGGTGCATATCATCATCGATTGAAAGGGAGAATATGCAGCATTGCACCAAAATGGGAAACCCCTCAATCTAAAGCTACAGTAGCACCAACGGGTATACAGTACATGGCATACAACAAACATGGTGGGGGGATTTATTTATAGAAATTAAGCTGGGCTTGGCAGGATGGATTAATGTTTTCTTTTGCTTGAGCGGGGAGAGTCAATCAGGAGATTTGGTATGCCTGTTACAACATCTCTAAAATCCTCTGAACAAGTGAACACAAAGACACGCAAGAGTCCAACAGCAAACACACAAACTGTAACAATACCTTTGATACAAGCGACGATACATGATGACATTCTTCAGAGCATATGACAACATGTCTGATAGCCAAACATATCCTGATACAAACTGTAGGTATGCGACACATTATGTTCCTTTGAGTAGATTTCAAACGGGATATTATTCAACAATAAATGATATACAAGTGGATATATATATATACAGTTAAACTGTCTGTGTTTATGTTGGATGGATTACATTTGGATTCTTACTGCCATGTTTCAACAATCATGTGTTATTTTAAGCTGACATTTGAACCATTTACCTGTTACCTTAAGCTAGCATTTCAGCTAAACTATCCACACACACTATTGACAAAAGTACCCCCTAGAGAGAAATTGAACAGCACTCGATAACATATATCTTATATAATAATCATTATTTTCTCCTGCCTGGTGCAGACTTCCTGGAATCCTCTGTATTCTTTCCGACTGGCTCAATAAATTAAAGGAAGAACAACATTGTCTACGTGCTGCGCTGGACCGATATCAAAAACAACATTTCAGCTACTTACTCCCTTCATCGCTTTGAGACTGTTTTGACAACATTACCCACGAGGCAAGAGATTATGACCTATGGAGTGCTGTTTTAATAGTAAATAGTGAAAGTGTTGAAATGTGAAAATGGCTTTGGGGAGATTATATTTAGCACTGATGCTAGAATGTCCTAGATTCCCAAAACAGCAACAGTTGAATGTGTTTGTCCCTACCTGGATTTCACAGGCATATTGGGTATTGTAGATGTAGTGAAAGGCCTCTTCAACGGTTTCACCAAGAGCAACCACCCCGTGATTCCTCAGCACCAAAACCTGTAACACACACACACACACACACACACACACACACACACACACACACACACACACACACACACACACACACACACACACACACACACACACACACACACACACACACACACACACACACACACACACACACACACACACACACACACACACACACACACACACACACACACACACACACACACACACACACACACACACACACACACACACACACACACACACACACACACACACACACACACACACACACACACACACACACACACACACACACACACCTGTCAAAATCTGTTTTGAGGGTTGGACCAGATGATGTCAACAGAACTTGGAAATTCCCTATTTCTTTTGCCAAATTAAATTCTGTTGAACTCTGATCATTATAAAACAAAGCTAATAGCAAGATGCTCTCACAGGGAAGCACATGTAGGGACAGATAGAAGCAGGCACATAAGGTAACTGACATCAGGACTGGTTTGACAGTCCTGCTGCTGTTTCATCCTCCAAATCAACCCCACCCTGATAATCATTCTTAACTGCAATGACAAGAAACAAAAACACTCCTCTCCTGAGCATGTTAATTAAAAATACCTCAAGATATCATGTCTACACATCACAGACGTACTGTTATCTCCTGAAATGTTTTCTTATTTTCATGTCTACATCTGCTGTCTGTGCGAGGATTTTTGATTAATGAGGGCACATAGTTAAAAGAATAGTTTGTAATTGTGTTGGATGGGAAGGTCAATACCATCCTCTACATGTCTTTGTGCAGTCAATACAAAGCTAGACCAATTTTCTCATCTAACTGCAGGCAAGAAGTGAATGAAGCTATTTTTTACAAGCAGGCTTTTCCTTTTAGAAAGATTAACCCAGCTGGAAAACCTTCCTCAGTGCTTGGTTTTCTTGGTTTCGTTACCTTCGCTGTTGGCCCCAGGGCCTTCTGCAGCTCTCTGCGCTCCTCCTGTTCGTCCAAGCTGCCCTGGTAGTTATAGTAGGCGATATCACCCAGGATCAAAGACTCCTGGGAAATCGGCAGGATGCCACACTTCATAGAGGACACCTTAAGCAGGAGGAAAGTGAGAAGAAAGCAGACGCATTGACAGGTGTATCACAGCTGTTTTATTCATCCGAGTCTGTTAGATGTGTCTGTGAGGAATACACTGAACTGATCTGTAATTAGCCTTTTTGTTGCATATCAAAAACACTTCCCATATCAATGTCTGTTTACTAATCATTATTACTTTGCATTCAAGGTTACAATTACACCATTCCAGTTTCTAAACCTCCCTGAGACAACTCAAAATCAAAAAGTGCTTCAGGTGGTCTGCAGGTTAATCGGCTGCGTTGACAGCCATTTTCTAACAGTTTGAAAACTTCACAGTGGAACCTGAACTCACAGCAGCCGTGGCAGGAGTGTGCACATGAATGACGCAGCGGATGTCTGGGCGCATGGAGTAGATGGCAGCGTGGGGGCTGAACCCTGAGGGGTCGATCCTCAGGTTGGTGGTGCCTTGTTCGATCACATCCCCGAGGATGTTCACCTTCACCTGGGGAAGGAGGAGAGGAGACAAAGTCAGTGAGGGCCTCATGGTGGAGCTGCTGGATGTAAAGCTGTTTCACTCCAACTGTATTTCAGTTTCTTAAAGGAGACACATCAGGCTCATTTTCAGGTTCTGTGTTATACAATTTGACATGCTTTAATATTTAAAAAACCTCTTTATTTTTCTAATAATGGCCATCTCAAAATACCTTTATTTTCCCTCAGCCAGGAACCTTGAGTTTTAGCGCCTGGCTCTTTAATTGACCCTTTTGAGAAAGCCTAGTCTGCTCTGATTGGTCAGTGTTTCCATGTCTTTGTCATCAATCATCATGATTCTTGCAGCCAGAGAATGACTAATGACAATGTAGAGTCACTTTCTACCTATTTATGTTTAGACGTGACTTCACAACCTTATGCAAGTCCTGACGTCTGGTTTAAAGGCACACTTTCCGAATATGGTCTGTATGCAATTCTCCATGGATTGAACAATAACTCGCGTTATCACCAAAATACACTTTTTCTTAAATATATGACCATTTACTGATGCACAGAGACTGAAATACAAGCTAAACAAACGTATAAAAACATGACAGCAGCATCATCTAGACTCTGATGATGCTGAGATGGAGGAGAGGAAAGATGATACGCCTGGAGGGAGATGTGCTGTAAAACAAACCATGCCCCAGATCAGTATAATCAAATATGCCCAGACACTAAAGCATCCTGGCAGATGCCCCCCTTAACACTGAAGCACAGAGCTCATAACTCACATTCATTAACAGAGAAGACATAAACTCAAGTCAAAATCAATGAGCATGAAGAGAGAAATCACATTAGCAGCTTTCCCTCCTCTCTGTCCGCTCATCTCCAGGAAATGAATTGGAGCGTTACCAGGAAACATAATATAGTCAGGTAGTGGACATGACGTCCTTTACTATGACAACTTCATTACCAGCCGGTTAGCAGTGATTAGATCACGGGGCGGGAGAGAAGAGCGATGGAGGGAAAGATAGAGGGAGAGACCTGAGGGGAAGAGAGTTGGATAACCAGAGGAAATAAAGACGGATAACAGGAGATGGAGGCCGAGGTCCAACACCTGAAGAAATAGCAACTGACAGTCCTCGCTGTAAAATCTAATAACAAACAGAAAACACAGCTTTGCCTGCAGACTCTGTATAAATCAACTTTACCACAACCACATGTTGCTCTGTGATACAAATTAGAACCCACAAGCTCACATTTCTCTGTCACAATACGAAGTCCAAGAGTGTGTGATCACAACAGGAAAGGGCATCCATCATGCAGGCTAATAAATACACCTGGTTTAGCTGAATGTGTCCAGAGTTTCACGTTTTACTCATGTGATGCACTTCCGCTGCACTTTGCTCTGTACTTATGAAATAATCCGTTCATGGAGAAACTAATTAAGGAAAGGATGAACCAGTTGGTCAAGTGACATTTAGCCTCATTAGCAAAAACTAAAATAAGAAATGAATTGCATACAAATAATAAAACGGCACAATCAAATCACATTATCAACAGTTTTGACAATAACTGTCCATCAGATTTCTAAGTGGAAGTTTCTGAGTGGAAGCAGTCACCAAAAAAGAAAGTTGTATTTTCCGATAATTTTGATAGTGTATGAATATGATTGTGACTTGAACCAGTTTTAGTACCGAGTTCTTCTAAAAGTATTCAAAAGTACCAAATGCTTACACATTTATATATTTATTAAAAACATGACTTCCAATTGGTTTTCTTTTGTATCTTTATAGCTATTGCATACACTAACAACACAAACAAATCTATGAGTGGGTTTGGCTCTACATCCAACACGTGATTTGGTATTAGAACAAGAACACAGTGTTAAATTGGCACTGACATAGAATCATATTGATGAATTAAAACAGTTCACAGCTTGTTGGTGGTCTCTGGATCAACTCAAGCTGAAAGTCCTGAGACACCCCGAGTGCTGCTCTGCTTTTTAACAGCCGTATGGATGTTTGAATGGATGACCGTCTATTGATCTTTCCCCCAGCAGAGGAAAAGTGAATGGCAGCAGTGGAGCGTACCTAAGTACAGCCATCTTTGTCAGCGCACACACCCGCAGCTTAGCCAGCTGTCAGACGATCGAACATCGATCGGTTTAAATCACTTGTCCAGAGCGGTATCAGTTCACCCTGTCACATCCTTCAAAAGGCAGCACCCTCAACCCGTCAGTCAAAATCTGCCCTACTGCTGAGAGGCCCTTCTGACAAACATAGCACTTCTAATTATAAAAAGATGCCAAAGGACGTGTTAGAAAGAATCTGAAATGTGACTCTGCTGGATGGAAAGTACATGATAAGGGCCTGAAGAAGAAGCGTGGGCAGCTGAAGCTTGAACACCTTTAAGACTATTCTCTAACACTGCACTGACAGCAAACTAAACTAATAGACACATGTTATCTAGAATTGTAAAAACACAAAGAAAGACCGATCTCTCTACAAACTCAAATGACCCCGACTTCACCTCAGCGCTCCAACAGAGAGATTGAGAGGGAGAGGCAGATGGAAACTGACCAAAGCCAACTACTGAACTCCTGCCTCCACTCACCACAACACGACCTCTCAAACTCCTTTATTCTGGATGACTTCCTCCTAATAAATCTTATTTATATATGCACTTAGAGTGAACCATGTAACTACCGGATCAAAAACATGCTGAAAGAGAAAGAGAGAGAAACCCAGGAGCCACAGTCTGGTATTAAAACATAGTCAGGGAAATCTGACAGTGCCAGACAACATAATGATGCTGCGTCTTCCAAAAGGCTGCAATATTGTGGTCAACTCTACAGACAGACATAGACAAACTGGAGGTGCTCCAGACACTATTGTAAATGATATAGCCTTATGAGTTCATGTCTGAGCATACTACACTAAAGCAGATTTCTTTATCAGGTAAATATAACATGGAACTTAAGCAGAGGACACAATTGATCTTAGTTGAACATTCAGTCTTTGAGAAATGTGTTCAGCGTATTTCTGGCCAGAGATGCACGTCGCCCCCCGTTAAATAAGGGTTTGTTTGTTCCAAGGGCAAAACATGGTAAACTCGAACTGAACCTTTACTGCACTTTATCATGGCCATTACAATGTTTTCTTTTTTAATTTAGTTGTTTGCCTTAAATGTTGTCTTTATGTTGAATGTGTGTTTTTGTCCTTAAATGTAAATCAAAATCCCCTTGAGTAACAATAACTGAGCTGATTTGAACATGTATACCCTGCTTCTCTGATTTGTACAATAGGTAGTTGTTTGTCATTATGTGCAATTACATGTAGCCACTGTTTTTAGACATTACTCAAAGAGGTATTTCTTTTGAGCATAGCTTGGGAATTATTTTGCACTTAAAAGTAAATTTGTAGATTATCTTACTTGTTGTGCTTAATAAAAACTAACTAATCAAGACTGCAAAAATGGTGTAGAAAAAAAAGAATAACTGATGAAACATATCTTTCTCACCAACCTTAAAAATGCGGAACTAAACTTTAACTTCCTGCAGGTCAAACTGTGAAATCGGCCTGTCAGCAGTGCGGCTCCTACAATCAGCTGTCAAGCCATGTTACACAGGTACTTATGTGTGTGTGTTTGAGTGTGTTTGCACAGGTGTTGAAAATAAGGTTTGAGAAAAGTACAACAAAGCAGAGAGGACAGAAAGAGAAAATATAATAAATATATCATTCAAGGATCAAGTGACTTTTCTGCAAGCTTTGGTAATGCCCCAAAACATAAAGATAGACTCATATGCTTTGTTTCATAAGAAACACAGATATGTTTTCTTCCTGAATACCAAACAAAATCCCCCAGGATACTGAAAAGCATTTCAAGAATGTATTTCTACTGGGCACATTGATATGAATGTCAATTTTCAGTGTCTGTTCATGTTTTATTCTTCATTGTTAAAGGAGTTTACCCAAAAACAATAATAATACTCTAAAACACACATTTCTAGTTTGAAAACTGAAACGTTTTACACACCTCATAAGTTGTGTTTTACAATAGTTTTCAGTAAAATATTGAAGCTAAATTACTTTTTAAGTATTACAAATTAATCACCCTTTTGCTGGTAATGCCTACTAACCAGTACGTTAGTATTTCATTCAGGCTATATAATAAGTCTGCAAATGAGGGTTTTCTGAGAAATAAACACATTTTTCCCTGATAAATTGGAACGAGCAGAATTAAAATCTCATTATAACTCATTATTGATAATCTATTGACATAGCATGCGCTGTTGTCATGACAGCGTGTGCACTCTTTGAACCGAAACTTGACGGGCAAAAAACCTGAATGACAATATTTGCTGACTTATACTGTAACAGGAAAGCAGCTGACAGAGAGAGGGGGCGAACACATGTCAAAAACACATGTGAGGTGCAGAGAGAGAGGAAGGGAGGGAACAACACACTAAAAAGGCAACATCTACTATGACCTCTTGATACAATTGAAGGAAGTCAATTGATGGAAATAAATGTCTGATTAAGCAAAGTGGAAAAGCATTAGCCCAATCCAGTGAAGGCCAAAACCTTATTATCTAAATAGCAATGCTTTAAAACAGTGATTCTCAAACTTTTTTCAATAATGTACCCCCTTTGAAAAGAAATTCAGCCAAGTACCCCCTGATCAGCGCAAAAACTATTTGTTAGGGAAGAAATGCCTATATAAAGAGGTACAGTACAGCGCTGCACCATCAGTGTCTGATTTATTAAAACAACAACCTTGTAACTGAGAAACACTTAAATGCTACATTTCAAATGTTTACAATCCATCACTAAATTCATGGCAAACCAATTTTACCATCATGCAATAACACTAAGACGACATTAGTTGCATTGAACTTATCTTTTTAATAACTTGTACTAACAATGTAGTGAGAAACATGGGCTTGTGCTTCACTGAGGGTCTTTGTCATTCTGACAGGGAGGCTAACTGCAGTTATTACACTTCGTGTTTTGAAATATGTGTAACTCTGTTCATATAAAACCCACACTGCTCAAACTTCCTTACTTTTCCTAAAATTGGTATTTTTATCTATTTTTTTTTCATTAACATAAAATAAATCTCACGTACCCCCTGCAGTACTCCAACGTACCCCTAGGGGTCCGCGTACCCCCATTTGAGAACCACTGCTTTAAAACATACACAGAGCAGGACATTGACACTGTTTGCTACATATTCAATTTGTTTTACTGTAACCAAGGGATTGCTTGAGTCAAATTTAAGCTTTGAAATTAATTTCTCAAAAGTATTTTCACTGTTGGCATTTTCCTTCATTGTGTTTCAATTCAATAGCTACTCAGTTGAATAAAAAGGGCACACAAAAATATCATAGTTTCTGCAAGTTAAGGTTCCACGACTTCGGATGTTTCTTACCAGGTTTGATGCAGACGCCTCAGCGAAGGACAGTCCTCTGGGCATGATGACGATGTGATCTTGCTCTTTACTGACTCGCGCCTGAGACAAAGAAAAAGTCAAAACAATGTTGAGTATAATTATTTAATTGATTGAAATCTGACTTCTATGACTGTAAATTAAAAAAAAAAAATTCTATCCAACATTTCAGAGCTCCTGTGTTTTTTGAACTTGTTTAAATGACTTAATATGCACATTCGTTTAAAAAAACCTTTACAACACAAACAAACCTCGTAAAAAAACCTGTCCAATTCACAAAGAGCAGCACTAAAGGGCGAGTCTTCAGAGAGTTGCTGGTTAAACAAGCGCATTTGTGAGGGGTGTCCAACTCATACTTTTTTCATGCAGTGACAGGATGCAATTACAATTTCCTCTCTCTTAATAGTTTTTTTGAGGTTTAGATGGAAGTGGCATTCTGGCAACCACCCCCCAACATGACTTCCTTTCACCCCCTTGACCAACGCATTGCCCTGATGCAAAGTATTATACATCGCTAAATTGGGTAATTGCACTAAGCAGCATTAAGTATCTCCTGTAATATCATTAAAGCAAGATATTCTGTAAATAATATGTAGGGAAGGTAACGGCCCGTCCACACAGCGGCGTGCTGTGAAAGCTTCACCATTCACTTTGAATGGGGTGCTGTCACTTTTCGCCGAACTGCATTGTGGGAAGCGACGTGGAGCGTTGCTGGCGTGGCTCGCTGCAAAAGTTGAGCAATGTTCAACTTTTGAAGCCTCGGCAGAAGCGTCAGCCAATCGAATCATATGCCAGTACTAGCCAATCAAACAGCTGCTTGTGTGTCAGGGGCGGGAGATTCATGTGATTGGTTGTTGGTCGAGTTTCAGACACGCCCGCCGGCAAGCTTCAACGCACGCCGCTGTGTGGCCGGCCCGTAAGTGTCCATTCTCTGTGATTTGTCGTACTGGTGGTGCAGCTACTCACTGTGATGTAGGAGTTGGAGAAGTGCGCCCAGCTGAACAGGTCCACCAGTCTGTAGAGGCTGGCCAGCTTGCAGCGCGCCAGCTTCTCACCTTTCACCATCGTGGTGGATTCAACTCCGTACATGTCGTTGATAGGAATGACCATCCCCAGACCTAAACAAGGTGGATAGGAAAATGTGTTCAAGAAAATGATCTAGGAGTAGTAAAATACATACACTTTTATCATATCATCCTTTACAGCCCTAAAGACATCTGTCTTTTTATGTAATGATGTTTTTGACACACATGGATCCACATGAAACTGAGGTGACGTATTTAATGCTGCAACATTTATACTTTGTTTACTACACACTCACTATGGGAATATCTTAAAAAAGGGCGGAACTGTATTCCTATATTACATTTAACATGTAATTCGGCATTCGTTGTGCATTCCAGTGCTGTGATTGAAAGCAGACTTCACATATGGACTCCTAGATCAAAACTCAGAGAAGTATGTGCAGCCTTTCCGGAGTCTGGGGTTGGGTTGTCTTGGTGTATTTATGTCCTAAAGCACGCAAAGCGAATGTTTGAAAATGGATCTCCTCTCTTTGATTCTAATGCTGTGTTTTAAGTGCAAAGTGCTGGCACACTGGGCAACTGTGGCATGGTGAGCTAAATGGTCTACGTGCCACAGCGCTCAGTAAATTAGAACTTACTGAGAGGAGAGGCGTTGAAGCCGGCCACAGAGCTGGCCATGAAGAAGTCAGCGATCTGTCTGAGGGCCAGCAGGCCGGCGGGGTTGTTCCCTTTCCGCTGCTGCTCCTGGATCAGACCCTCCAACTCCTCCTTGAAGGCCTGCGAGACAAGACAAGCGAGAAGGAGTTTAGAAAGGAAATAATGTGACACTGAGACGACACAAACCAAACTCTCTGACCTCTCTGACCTAAATGCTGGCTTTGTGGATTAATATTCATTTCATAATCTACATGTTAATGGCAACATGCTTATATCTACTCTTTGTATCCTAAACATGAAAATCAAGCCTTTGAGAATTTAGAGTTACAAGATTGGACCCCTCAATCAGGCACTATGTAGCTCAAAAGTTCAATTTCAATTTCAATAGTTTTGGTTCATGTTTATTGAACTGTGATGACAACTAATAAAAAAAAAGACAGGGAGGGATGATGTTGACACAGAATCGGAGGGAGAAGCGATTAGTGGTGACGGAGGGATGGAAGAGTAAAAAGAAGTGGGAACATTCAGAGGGACAGGAGGAGAAGGAATAAACACACGGACGTGTTAATCACAGATTAGACTTGCTGCTCGATGTCAATTGGAATTTTACTCAAAGCACTTCATGAAGCTCAAACAGGATAGGCTGGCTATCCAACAAGCTGAGTCAGGATTGGTTGTCTGGCTAGCTTGGGGCCCGCATTGTGATTGGCTGCCTGACCGGGACAGAGTGTGTGTTTGTGTGTGTGGTTAATCCCCGTCCAGACCACAGTCATATGTTGAATCTACAGACACAACAAAGTATATGCTTACACTCTCCTATGTAAGACCAGATACACTCACAGCTGGCTGCGTTATATCAAACCAAAGTGCTGCATCATTTCATGCTTTCATTTCCCATGAAAGAGAATGTTTCTTATCATGAAACAGCTCATGAATAAAACGTTTTAAAGATAAATCACAAGACTTCTCAGTCCACAGGAAGTGTCAGTTTAAACTACTGTAGATGATGCAAAAGGCTATGCAACTGTGTAACAGCAGACATTATAAAAAGTACTAGCTGTTTAGCGGCTCATAATCTTAATTAGGCTGTTAACCTCTCAGGGGGCGCTCACCTTTCCCCACAGCTCATTTGATTACAGCTGTGTGAGTCCAGAGGCACATGGTTAGGGTTAACCAATTGGGTTTGAAGACATTTTTTAAGTCTGAAAATGGACTAAGAGGTTCCAGACCAATTGTCATTTGCAATTTGGCCTGATGATGTCAGGCAACCTACCCATTTGATCGGGTCTTAAATGGACTGCACTTCATGAAGTTACCTAAGAATTTCTGATCCACTTTTGACTTGTGATGCGAATTTAGTGGCACATCATCACTGCCCTCAGAGTGAAAAGAGTCCATAACAATATTTCCATGCCTTGACTCCAACTGCAGGGCAACATCCAATATTCATGCCTTTATTTCACCTCAGTGTTCGTGCAACAGTCAACACATTCCCAATAGATCTGTTCAATAAAACATCTCTGTCCCCTCTGCATCCCCTCAAGTCACCCCATGTCCATTAGTGTTGGAGTGGAGGCCTTTGGTCAGATGCCCGTGTGGGGGTGTTTTGTTCAAAGTGGAGCAACCCCCTGAATCAGGACGAATACAGTCCCGGAGCACCGCTGACTCTGAACCCAGGCCAGACATTCCTTAGTCCCTGGTGGCAAGGTTGCTGTGACAACCGGTCTGTTGCGGATGTCTGACAGTGGTGGGTCATGTTTTTTAGTTTTCAGTTGTTTTTCTGGGCATTTCTGTTTCAAAGACTGTTGTGCTGTGGCATTGACATTGGAGCTGCAGCGCTGAAGACACAGTTTATTGGAACCAGAGCAGAGAAACCTGAGCCTCTGGCAGAAAATGTGTTCCTTATTCGACTAAAAAGATGTTTGTTTTGGGCCTGTGCAGAAAGATTATCACTAGCGTTACACTGTTTGCTATGTGAGAGCTTAGAGTGAACCTAAACAATCGTGGTGGGTCAAAAAACAACAACAAATTAGCAAAAATATGCTAAAAAAACATCCTCAGAATCACCATTGTTTTTCACATACGGTACCAATCAACCAAAGTGAAACTTTCAACACAACAAGCCTGCAGTGTTTTTATGAAACATATTAAAAAGCATATGAGCACACACTTTCAGAAATGCACACACACACAAGCAGACATCTGCTCTACAAATTGTGTGTTCCCAATAAGATTATGACAGCAGGGATTTGATTCCCATCATCTAAACAGATTAATCCGGGGGCCTAAAGTGGATCGTATCATTATTATTTCGGCAAAACCCCCACATCTGCAGCAACAGAAATAACATCACACGACAAGTGTTTTTTTAGCTGCTATAACGGCTCGACTCTGATGAGAATTTTACTTTAATCCAAAGACAGGACATCAGGTGAAGCTTTATAATAATATCATTGCAGTGACAGAACATTTGCCTGATTACATTAACTGACAGGCAACCAAGCTAAGCAAGGCCACGTGATCAAATCAGAGACATTAGGAAACGTTTCTGCAAAACAAAAGCATATATTTCAGTGGTTTTAAATGAAGTTGCAGGTTTGAGTTTGGCCGGTGATCATGTCAAAGCCTGAGATAGAGACACTAGTAAAACGGGGCTAGTTATTCAAAGTAAAAAAATATACATTTGGACGTTCCCTGGTGTAAAGTTGGGAGTTTATTGGTTCTTGCTGAGAAATATTTCCTTCCACAGGGATGGATGAGCCGACAGGATTCATGCCTAGCTGAAGGACATTACGTCAGGGCAGATGCTTCCTGGAAAGAGTTTACTATGTGCTGGACGTTAACTAAGAATACAATTACACATTCTCCAAAGAGAATTTCTTGGAAATTGTACTAGAACTGGACGTTTTTATACTTCCAAGGGCATGTGTCACGTGACCTACAGAGAAGTTTCCTTTTGTCTTGCTCAGTTATTGCTGCAGATACAGGTGACACTTGTACGTCATCCTGTGGGAAAGGAAGACAGAACTTTGAATCTCTTTGTTGAAGCAAGGCTGGTCCTGCATGTGTGGGCTTGTACTGATCAAATAAGTGATGGTTTCAGCACACACAAATGTATCCTCATGTTAAATTAAACTACTGTGGTTGGATGTGACTCACCACAGCTCAGTTTGAGTCGTTGCACAGCAAACCAACGCTTGAGAACGTGTACAGGAAGCTTTTATTGGACAGTCTCAACTATCAGTTACTGTTTTGGGTCATTTACGGTAGCAGGTTAGTAATACTTTTCACTCCTACAAAATGCATCATAGTTCACCTGAAAGATCATAGTGACCTGCATATTTTCAGGTCTCAAATTGCATTATTGTCAACTGGCAGAATAAACTAAATGTAAGGAGTAACCTCAGAGTCTAATAAACATACTGTATCTGCCATGAAATACATGCAAAGATAGATATAAGGCACACTAACATTGTCTTCAAAGCTTTTAGACACACATAAAAGGTGAAGCCTGTAATTTCAGACATAACCTCCCCAGTTATGTCAGCACAAAGGAGTTCTTTGAAGCCGCCAACGTGACAGGGTTACAAAGTAAGAGAGTGCCTGCCTGTATGCTTGCCAATGCTATTGATTTCCCCCCACCTAACCTTAGAGTGTGCGTCAGTGAAATTGGTCCCCCTCTCCAGCTGCATCGGCTCTCTACTGTATAAAATCAAAGCTCTTTTTCTTGAGGGATGAACTTGTTCACCCCGGCAGAAATTGCGGTAACATTTAAGTAGAGGGGATAATTAACACAAATCACATTTGTGAAATTGGCGATACAATGTACCGATATATAAAGATGACACTGTTTTTATGTGTGGATTCATCTAAAGTCAATTCATGACTTTAGAGATGCACCAATTCAACTATTGTTTTTCTCCCAGGTACATCAACTTGGTATAATGGCTGATACCATGCACCATTTGAATAGGACTGCTCTTTTTTACTTCATTTTTTTATGGCAAGCAGGGGATTGCTGTTGCACTAAAAACAAGATCAATGGCTGGTCGTGACTCAACAAGTGTGACTGACAGCAGAAACAAGGCAGCTGTATTTAAATGGGGATTTGTTACGTCACGGGCGATACAGGCGAGTGTTATCACTGATACCAATCAGGCATTTGGATCAACGCATTTGAAAATAGTTTCATTAAGCAAAAACTATATTTGTTATACCTAATAATATAATATAATATATAAAACATCTATATCAGATTTTGAATTTAAAAATGTGATTCCGGTTGCCAGATGAGGAAACTCATAGAAAGCTTACCACTGAGCTCCAGAGGGATTTTTGACCTTTCCTTTTTTAGGTTGCACATGAGCTAAAGTGGACTTAGAAACATTTCAATATGTTACCCTCTAATCCTGAGACCATTGCTCAACTGCTGGAGGTTTTGCTAAGTTCAGCACCCAAGAGATGTCGTGAAATGCCAAAACTGAAACACAGCCGTCGAGACATGGAGAGGAGAGGCGGTGGTTTTAAAAAGAGTCTCTGGAGTCAGGTCAACCACTAATGTTCTATCAAATGAGACTTTGAGGATTTGAAAAAGAAAGGGGAAACATAATGGAGCGCAGCCGTGACATTTACCTCACATGAGGGGGTTCTCGGCGGGACCCGCCAGAGCACCATAAATTATCCACTTGTTTTCTGGAAAGTGAGGGGGAAGAGTAGGAAATGTTGCACTTCCTCCGAAAACCACCAGACTGGTGCAAATGAGGCTGCGTAAATGTACCACTTGGCCTCAGTAAGTGATTTCTGTGGCTGATGTACAAACTGTGCCACAAGAAGTGCAGAAGAGAGGAACAACTAACAGCAAGGGACAAAGCAAGATGAGCAGAGATGCAGAAAATAGACGCAGCATAACTCAAATTCAATTTCATCTGATCTAATTTCAAGCCTCTGAGGGCTTTTGACCTTTTGTGTCACAGCAACCTAGTTCCCAGCACAAAGGGAAGCTTAACGGCAGAATTTTAAACAAAAAAGTCAAGATGATGATTTGCCAACCATGACATCATGAGACTTGGATTTGCAGCTGCAATCTTTGTCCAATCTACTTCTGGAAATGCAGTGTGCCTCACAAACAACCTCCAGGCAAATATCAACCCTTGATACAAAACAACCATTATGTTAACCGCCATTACCACCAAAAAACATCTGAATAATCGTTCTCTTCTCCTTCCCCATGATAACCAATGAAGTCAAGTACACTTAAGCAGATTTAACCATGAATTGACCCAAAGTTCAGTAAGGGGGAAATAATGGTCTACTGTTTGTTTAAAGGAATTATCAATTCACTTAAATATTTGTTTTAAACATCCAAAACCTTTCAGCGTTTCTTTCAGAGTGTCCACACTATCTGCTGTGACACTAAGGGACCTAAAAGGGTTCAAGGTCCAGCTGTAGCCTTTGACTTCTAAAAAGGTAAACAATGCTTTCGAAAGAGGCTGGTGGCTGCAGTCAGCTGAGTTGATTCATTCCAGCTTGGTCTATATTGGTCTGTCTTAAAATACAACCGGCCATCTGAGCGCTAGTAACATGTAATCTGGAGCCACCACTAGTCCCATAACACTGCATTCAAAACAAACAGAGAGAGAGGAGAGGAGAGGGAGACTATGAGAGAGGCGCCATGTGTTGACACACAGCTGTTGACATTGTTGTTGTTGTAGCTGAATTTGGGACTGAGGGAGATGAAGAGTGAAATGAAGATGATAGGAGAAAGAGAGAGAGAGAGGCAACACGTGTGCACCTCCAGCTGTTCACACACTTGTTTTTGTTGTTGAATATGAGTAAACCAGCACTGTGAGGCCAACTGTCCTGATGTACGGGCTGGAAACCCCTCTGAGACCAACAGGGAGCCACCTGTTACTGCTGCCTGAGAGCTGGTTGGCTCACACATTCAAATCACAGCAAGCGCTAATCATGTACATAACATTGCATGACCGCAAGTGTAACACACACAGTGTGATGTAGCGGTATATCATGGGCCTGGGTATCTTATGAAGTCTATAGGGACAGCAACAGTTATCACTGGTGATAAACAAACAGCTTTCACTAGTTAAAAATCTCTCAAAGGTATGCAGCGTGAATTGTAATAAAACAGGAAAAGAACAGTGTACATTTAATGCAGAAACCTTTATTTGATTGGCTACTTAAGGGCACAAGTCTTATTTCTGGGCAGCTGATTCATGTAAGTCCAATTTTCAAGTTTTTTTGTTCCGGTCTCCATAAATCCTGATTTTTTTATATAAAATAAAAATATTAATACATTTTACAGAGGCGTGATATACACAGATATGCTTGCAATACAAATGAAGGACATCTTTGATAGATCACTGTGGCCATTGCTATGGTGTTGTCAGGTGCTGGTCAGAAAGCTCTCTCACTGACCGCCTTTACCAACTCAACATGAGGAATTGAACCATAAGGACGGACTGGAGTCAGCTGTGCCAGACAGACATGGTGAAAAATAAACGGTGATGGTTTGCTACTCAAACGTTTGGTGCAACCCACTGTCTGCCTGGCCCTCTTAATGTACTTTCTAATGTAATCACGCTTAACTGCACTTGTGGACCACGATCACATACATAGACATTTTGACAGAATATCAAGTGATAACTTGCATCAGCAGCACCATCCCAGACATCTGCTAAAAGATGCTGCGTGCCAAGAAAACAACACTGGGCATGTGCAGAATGAGGATCACATTTAAAGCTTAAAAAGAAATGGGCCAAACCAAGGCAGCCATCACACACACTTCAAGGCTTACTTTACTCTACTTGTGAGGGATATTCATTCATGACATTAATTGCCAATGCAATGTCTTACTTTGTTCGTTACCTAACTTCAACCTCACCATAAATCTGCTGTGTCCCTGCTGAATCTAAAACCTTCAAAGTGCATTTGTCCCTTTAAAGTGTTTCAAAGTACACATGCATACAGACACATACACACAGATGCCTCTGTTAACAGTGAGGAGCACTTCAGTCAGCGACTAGCCTTGAGTAAATAGTGCAGAGTAAATATTCCTAATACTGCGTACGCTGAACTGAATGCCGGGGGAGTTGTTGTGAAATCTTAACACATGGTGATGCAACTGTTCAAAGGACACAATCCAAACAGCAAGATAGGACAATAGCTATTACTGAGCTTGACTTTGTGTATGGGTAAATGATCAGAGTGTGTTTAAACTATTACTAACAGAGTTGCATTCATGACAAAGATGTAAATGAATTTGAGGTTCAAAAAAACTGATCTGAAACGCATTCAATAATGCAAAACAACGATGACATTTGATGTGTTTATCTGTGAAGTCTGGCTATGTCATTTATGGTTTTGTGTTGCTGTAGCGTGTGCTCTATGTACTGCTCCCTGTTTTTAATCACGTTCTGATCTCAGCAGAGGTTGTAGCCAACTTCAAAACTACTACAACCACAATATCCGATAACTCCACAATGCCGTGAGTGCCTAAACATCTATGTGTGGACCCAAATGGGTTCAATACTCTAACTGTACCTCCTCCAGCATCTTATGTAGTAGAGCAAGAGTCCAGACCCTCCAGGTAAAGAAAAGTAAACCACAACATGCTTGTTGGCTGAAATATGCCCTGGGCTCACAGGATTGTTTACCTCAGCAAAACCTAACCGAACATCAGAGCGGCTGGAATGGAGGGCCTTTGGAAAGCTGCAGCAGTAGCCTACGGCTGAACAGCGGTGTGGTAGCTGCTAGATATATTAGAGTTTTAGTGGATCACTGTGATTCTGTGGCTAGAGTCACAACATCAACGCAAGCACAGGTTATGTAAATTACTGTAACTCTTTAGAAATCAATGTATTGGGGAATAATAACTGACAAAAAGAAAAAACGGGAAGTTGTAGTTTCGTCTCCTTTCTGTTATATTTCTTGAATAAATTGTTTTGTGGTGGGGTCGAGCCTATTGCAGCATACATTGAGACACAGGTGGGTTACACCTTCGATGGGTCCGCTGTCTGACTTCCTTTTAAAATTGTACAAAGTCCAATTGACCCAAGATCTTACAAGCATGATAAGGGTTCGGGCCTGATGACTTTTACACGCCAATATTGATTCAGTCACAGAAACAACAGGAAGTCCGCCTTAATTGTCGTTAGCCGATAGCCGATAGCTGAACGGTTTGAGGATTGCCTTGAGGCCAATGTTTTAACCTCTTTTGCCCTACATACAGACTGTTTACCTGAATTCAAGCAAAGCCCGCTCAACCTTGATTGGTGAATAACAATCAGTCTACAAATGCAAACCAAAACGCTACAGATAAAGGCCGCACATTTAAAGTAAACTGTTTACCGAAGAAATCTGGATCCATCGACCTTTCAGGACTCTCTGCTCTTTGCAATGTAAAGAACAAGTGAAAAAGCACCTTTCGTTGCTTTGGCTGATAGCATTATACTGTCTTCTACACCAATCATTTGAGAAAGTTGCAGTCTGTTAATTGTTGTTTTCCTCTGGACAATCTCCCCTCCAGTAAGCACTGCATGCATAACTCCCATTTTAAAACTTAGTCAACACTTACGGGGCTCTGTAAGATCTGTGTGACACGTTTCTTTTGCTCCAGAACATTGAAGTCCTGCCGCAGGTCAGGTGACATGTTCTTGGCCCTGATGTACTCCGGATCGTTGACGTCGACCCGGTCAAAGTAGCGCTCCTTAGTCCCTCCACTGGGCGGGGGTGGGGTGGTCACCACCCCCTGATGGTTTTCCACACTCATGCCTGCGTCACCTTACTCTATCTCTCTGTGCCCGCCGCTCTGACGCTCACCTGAGAAGAGAGAGGTGCAAAAGTCAGACCACAAAACATGTCATTTTAAAAGACAAGTGGAAGTTTATATTAACCATAACAAAAACATTGTTTCAGTATTTCATAGCACATAAAGAGGTTGAGGGAACAGAACAGGATGTACCGGCATTCAAACTTAAGCCCTTATGACAATGTGGTATGAAACGTTATTAATGTCATGGATATTGTCAATAAAAGTTCATAATGTGTATTTTTACAATTAAAATCATATGCTGCCTTTTTTTCTCAAATATAAAACTAACGCACTAACAAAGCCTTCATTAATGGACAGCGAAAAGGCAATATATTACTTTTAAACTGAATAGAAAACCTCTAGCTCATGCAAATTCAATGTACTGAAAAACAACATATCACAAGCAGATGACAGGGTCACAACTTGTGTTTGTCAAACACCGGAAGGGGCTGCTCCTTAAAGCAAATAACGTCCTGACAGAAGAGTTTTGTTCCATACACATGCCGTGTTGAAACTGCACATTGTCATAAGTGAGGTCACTCTGACACACCGCCCAACAAAGTGCATGAGGAGGACAGGAGCAGATTTGTTTGAACATGTGGGTCTTGACTGGTGAGTTGGTTTACTCCCAACGTTCAATCACAGGCCAGCTGGCAGGAAAACAAGCATTTTGCAGGATACAGGAATTGTTAAAGTAAAGCATCAAGAGTGACTCGTGTGCTTTGTTGTAATGCCAAGGGAAATTGCCAATAAAGGTGAAAGGAAATACATGTTTGTTACGTATTTTAAATATTTTACTTTGTGAACCAAATACATATTGTAGAGGAAATCCTAAAAAAAACAAAGAATTAATTGATTATTGTACAGTTGTTTTTGACCAAACCTCCATCTGTTCTACACACATTCCTTTAAAACTTGACCAAAGAACAACTGGACTAAAAAAGGTTCATTTGTTGGTTCAACAGTGTCCTGGTTTTCTTTACCATTTTCACAAGCACTTTATCAAATGCATTACCTCCTGGGTTACATACAAAGAGAGAGGGATAAAGGCCATATAGAACTGCATTTTCCAGACTCTCTTGCAACACGGCAAAGATAAGCTGGTGGTGTATTAAGGAGAGGCAGGGCTTAGGGGAGCTCTAACAGATGGTGTCTTGGCTTGAAGAGCAGAGGAATGAGAGAGAGAGAGAGCAAGAAAGGGTTTAAGAAAGGAATCCCAATGCTTTTTGCTTTCAAAAGCCAAGTGGTCAACAGCAGGGGGATCACCATGTGGGGGTTACTCTGCCAGTAGTGACTATTTTTCCCCTTTATAGCCTTTTTTCTTTACTCCATATGATGGGGAAACAGGGGGAGGGAGGGAGAGGTGATTTGGTTTGCGCGCCGCTAAGCTACTCACTCAGGTCAAATGCCACTTATAAAGATGGCTGAGATTAGTGTAGTGACACACAGCTCAGGGCATACAAGAGTCATACTCTTAGAAAATAAACAATGAATTTAAGAAAAGCCTTGCAAATGGATAAACATATTTTTTGATTTTTTTTCTCTTATGATCACACGTTTTCACTTTCCGTAATGGATGAAAAACACTTTTGTACTCATTTGAATACAGTATGCAAGAAAGCTAGCAACAACAATCACAACTTCCTTTCCGTAGGATTACCTTAACATTATGAGTATACATTCATCAATGCTGCTTCCTGTATTACTGGATTCTGAGATGTCAAGTGTCCAATGCCTTGCTCAAGGGCAATTCAGAAGTAGCTCACTGTGGTTGCCAATTGCTTTTACCAACATTATGCTCCATTTAAACTGGTATTGTTCTCAAAACCGGTCTATGGAGATTAGGGCTGTACCCGAATATTCGACTATTCGAATATTCGTTCGTTGGCCAACTATTCGGGTTTCAATTTCATTATTCGGATATTCGTTTTTTTATTTTTTTTCCAAATATTTTATTTTTTTTCCTAAATGTATGCTATCAATAAAGGCGAATTACCATATTCTTATACTATATTTATACTTTTGAATTGCACTGTTAAAATGCGGAAATATATACAATCTCAGCCTCTGACATCGCGTTCACTCAGTTATGCAAACGGCACGCTTCACCTCGCTTCACACACCTGAACACAAAATGCCGAAGACTTCAGCTGTGTGGGACCATTTTAAATTGGACGACGGTAAGAAGAAGGCAGTGTGCCAAATATGCGACAAGAACCTGGCCTACCACGGTGGCACAACAACTCTGAAAAGTCACCGGATGCTGTAAGTACTAGCCTAGCTTAGTTTAGCTGTTGTCAAGTTGCCATGATGAAGCTGCTTTATCCGTCATTTAAACAGTAACGTTACACATGGTAAAATCGTGCTCTTACTTTGCTTAGAAAATAGTTGCAAGCAAGCAACGGAATTGTTTTTTTATATTAGTTTTTCAATTGTATCCGAATAGTGAAAATAATAGGAGCAATGTGGGAACATCTGGGGCTAAGGCAATTATTGGCATACAGTTCGTTCATTTATTTTTCGTTCTTCATTTATTTAAATACTGTTTACTGTATCGGTAACAAGTGTTACCCTGTTAGGCCTACTGTTACGGCTATGTTATTAAAAGTATTGTTGTTATAACAGAAATATGTGTTTTGTATCTTCAGGTTGTAAAACGTTATAGACGGAATTTGGAACCGGATTTGGTTCCCGGGCGCTGAGCTGCGGCTGGGTTAAATGCAGAGGACACATTTAGTTTTAATGTATGCGAGTACTGAGACAATACATAAATATAAATCGTAATAGTATTCTCTTTCTGCGCTTCTGCTTAACAGCGTGTTGTCAGGTGTCTCGGAGCGTGTTATGAACAAAATGTGGGAAAAAAAATAAAAATCTCTCCGCACCGAATATTCGCTGCTGATTACTACCGAATATCCGGAGCCCGAAAAATGGTATTCGGGACAGCCCTAATGGAGATAGTCTCGTTTTTTTTCCAAAGACAGGACAGTAGATGTGACAAATCACAGACACAAAGTTTGAGGAAAATGTGACTTTTAGTTTGACAATATTTTGCCACAATGTCCAAACCAGAGAATCCATAAGAGCACAGGAAGCCTCTCGCTCAGTACCTGATCCCACTACCAAAGCTGTGATTTATATGGAAGCAAATAAAAGCCGCCCAAAAATCCTCTTTAATAAAAGGCAGCTGGGGAGTGAAGAGTTATGTAACCTGTTCTGTTATTGAATTCATCCTCCTGTGTGCATGAACTATTTTACTGTGCACAGAACAGGCTAGGACAAAACCGCAACATGATGTGTTGGAGATGGGAATAGTCACAATGGATAATCATTTTCAGTTGAGCAATGTGTGTGCAACATCGTTAATTTGCCATCAGGGTTGCAGCTAAAGATTATTTTCCTTATTGATTCATGTGGCAATTTTTTGATGTACAAAATAGTGAAAAATGTCCATCCAGTTTCTCAAAGTCAAAAGTTGGTGTCTTGTTTTGTCAGTCCAAGATCCCAATATATTTAGAAAACCTAAAACATATAAAAACAGAACAGGATGAACTATTAATATTTGAGAGGCTAAACACAGCCTTTTCGCCATTTTGCATGAAAAGTAAATGAACTTTGAAAATAGTTGTTACAATTTCCGAAGTAATCAATTAGTCGACACAATTGTTATACCTCCGCTCGTCACTCAGCACTTTTTTTTCTACTCACTGCTTCAGCTCTGATTCCTTTACTTGTAGTGCTTTTTTTCTTGTACAGTACGTCTTCAAAGATGCTCCAGTGCCCCAAAGTAGGGGCAATACAACCAGCTACACCTTGTGATTGACAGTAGAAGCTCATGTCTGAAATTTGCTGAATGATTGGATTTCTATGCGGCTGAACAGCTGTAGCCTCACTAAAATAAAGTTATACCCACCAAAAAAAGTTCTGTAAACAGTGCCTTTCCCCTCACTTTAGTCACACACATGTACCAGTACACTATCCCTGCTCGGTCACAAGACACACTACTCCAGCAGTCCCCATCAGGAGCGTCCAGCCTCCCCCCCTCCATCGCTCTGGATCAATAGATCACTGTCCCCGTCCTGAAACCTCTCGGGCTGGTCGCGTCCAGAGAGATCAACGGTCTGGAGGGTGAGGGGGGAGTGGCGTTGTTGGTTTTGGGCACAATTAATATGAGTAAGGATAAAATCTGAGCCTCGCTTTATTGCATCAATTATTTCATTCAAATGTCATGCTCCACCACAGATGCTCTCTAGTGTTTCTATCAAACACTTCTTGAGCGAGACACAGTGAAGCTTCCCGAACAATTGCAGTAGTTTAGATTGAGTTCAGTGACCGACTGGAAACTGGAGATAATTGCCCTTTAGAGATATGGCATTTGATGACATCGCTGTATTGTAATTGATTAAGGCTACATTAATCTGTGGAGATAGACGAGGCAGGCTGTGTTTACTAAAGGGCGCTAGACTACGACTGCTGCCCACAGGCAAGGTGAATGTGACCTCTGACCTCCACTGACCCTCCCCTTCCTCTCATAGCTCTGAAGACCAAACCTGTCTTCATCAGTGGGCTAGTTGTCCATGAAAATGTCTCCTGTATAAACAATGACTTTAAGAGTGCTATAAAACAAATTATTGCTATTAAAATCACCATGATACAAATGCTTTTGGTTACCAAAAGTCACACAATGAATGGTGTAGAAACATTTACTTCATTTAATAACAGCTTACTTGATGAAAGACAGGGAGATTTATCAAACACTCACACATGTTGTTCTTTTAAATAAACTGAAAGGTAGCTTAATAAATCAATTGTAAGACGTGTATATGTAACTATATTCTAATAGGGCTGCAAGTTATCCACCATTCTACTTATTCTTTTTACAAATAAGTTCATATTTTGGTTTAAAAACTGCCAGAAAATAACAAAAAGCTGATGAAGTTACTTAAACCTGAGCTAATGTATTGAGATGATTTGCTTTGTGTGACTAATGGTCCAAAACATATTCAAATAAATGTCACATAAGACGAAGAAAAAAAGGAAAACAAATCCTCTCATTTGAGAAGCTAAAGAAATCAAGTTGTTGCATAAAAACTTAAAAATAATTAAAAAATATATATGATAAAACATCTGAAACCCACTTGCTGCAGCTCATGCATTAACATTTGAGTGACTTAAAAAAGAATATGTAAAACCTCAGTCATGTGATCTAAAAAGAAAAAAGATGCATTGATATGAAAATGTCCTTCCTTCATCTTTACCATTAGAGCTGTGAGTGTGCTCACCCATAATAATAATAATCCTTATATTTATTATAGCGCTTTATCAATGACTCTCAAAGCGCTTTACAAATACACATTACACATACATGTAATGGTCATCTACTGTGGACAATACCCACAGGAGCAAATTCGGGTGAAGTGTCTTGCCCAAGGACACAACGGCCTGACGCAGTGGGGCGGGAGCGGGTTTCGAACTGGAGTTCCCCAACGCCCCCTTGATCTGATGATCAAACGCACAGACCACTGCGCCACTCGTCCCTAAAATGCCTTGTGGTTCCCTGACATGTAGAGCTGGAGCAGTGCCAGCTCCTCAGTCAACACACAACTCTCCGTCTTTATCTGATCACAGCCAGCTTATCTGTAAGCCTACGTCCAAACCATGTATCTGCTGCTCCATCTCTCTGTCTCCATAGTGTGTCTGTCCATTACTATTGACCTTTTATTTTCTTCCCTTAAAAACAGGACCAAATTAATAGCAATAAACTTACTACAAAAAGAAGTCACAATAATGCTGATTAATATAACAAGCAGTCAGCACATACACTGGATAAGTTGTCCACCAGCCACATCACACACTAATCCACACACACCTCATATCTTTATCTGGCCTGGGGGAAGCTTCAAAGCGTGGCTGCTTGAGTCTCAATGAGCTGCCGACACTAAAAATAGACAAACAGCCTTTTGGGTTATGTTACCAGCCCAAAGGCAACAATACCAGGAAACAATCTGTACGTCGGCTAATTATATCCACACACGCTTCAAATGGCACACAGTGTAAACCCTACACACACACACACACACACACACACACACACACACACACACACACACACACACACACACACACACACACACACACACACCACACACACACACACCACACACACACACACACACACACACACACACACACACACACACAACACACACACACACACACACACACACACACACACACACACACACACACACACACACACACACACACACACACACACACACACACACACACACACACACACACACACACACGTAGGTGTGTCTAAACATGCCTTCCTAACTCGCCAGCAGTCTAAGTGTTTGTCAGTAAATGCAATTTACATTATTGACCAGATTACAACAGACAAACGACCACACTTTGAGTCTTTGTATGGGCATTCCCTCTGAATGATCAACATTATCAAGAAAACTATGTAGAAGGCTGATACTTACTACTGCCGTGACTCTAGAATAGAAGAGTGCCTTTCTTCACACACAACCTCTCCTATTCGGCACCTTAGAGATAAAGCCACAGCTCATCTTCTCTGGTGCTCACACTAAAGGCACTGTGGCTGCCAAGCATGTTCATAGTGTGTGTGTGTGTGTGTGTGTGTGTGTGTGTGTGTGTGTGTGTGTGTGTGTGTGTGTGTGTGTGTGTGTGTGTGCATCTGTGTGCCCAAGCAGCCTTACTAACAAGGAATTCCGCTAAAACTACAAATCAGTTGTAGGGATTGGAGAGGGAGTCATGCTTTGGCAGCTTGTGGGAAAAGAAGAATACCTGTATTCCTTATTCTGGAGGTGTGTGATAAAGTCTTCAAAATACTCTAGTAAAAATAAGAACATATTGTAGGTATTCCAAAAGATACACATGCCTTACAAGGTGTAATGACACAATAAACCAGCCCATAAACAAATAAGCCAAGCCCAACCAACCTTGTATTTCCTGCTTTGTCAGTGAATAGGGGAGAACGGGCAGTAGTAGGAGGCGGCTGGGGCAAAACACATGTCTCTGTTTGTCTCTGCTGCTCGCTGTCTGCGCTTAAATTCCAACACTGTGTCCCAGAAAAGCCAGGGAGAGACGAGAGGGATAAAGAGCGGGATGTGAACGCCAGAAAGTAAAAGCCAGGGAGAGACGAGAGGGATAAAGAGCGGGATGTGAACGCCAGAAAGTAAAAGCCAGGCACCGATTATAAAATCATTCAGTCCTCCTCTCAGATTGTCCACATAGATGATGTTTGCCAGCAGACAGCAGGTTCCCCCAAATTCCTGCGGGCTCTGCTCCTCGGCACTCAGCGGAGAGAGAAGTATCAACAGCTGTGAGTGTGTCTGTGAGACTGTGAGAGGGTATATGTGTATCGGTGTGCCCTCTGCAAATGAGGGTGTGTGTTTGTGTGGAAAAGAAGCTGAAGAGACCACGTGACGCCGGCTTAATCCCCCGCCCACTGGCTAGAAGCACACACACATTGAGGCAAACACACACACATACAGACCAATCAGAGCTCAGACTCACACACTCACTAATCACACCTCCTCCTCCCTCGCTCTCTCTCTCTATGAGTCTAGTCATCTTTTTTTCTTGCCTCTTTCTTTTTCTCTTTGATCCATTCACTTTCTGCTCTCTCTCCCACATTCCACAATCTTCTCCCTCCGACTCTTTCCCTCCCTTTCTGTCCCCCATTCACACCCCCTGCTTACCCCCCACCCCTCAGGCGACTGTACTAAAGGTCAGTGTTTATGGGTCCGGCTGGCAGGAGGGTAACTACAGCCACCCAACCTGCCACAGCCAAAACGGCATGGCCTTTCCAGCCCCTTCAGAATGAATGTTATCTGTGCACTGAAACACACCTACATAAAGCCAGAGGGTTTCTTTTGTCAAAACTCAAATGTCACAGTTTAACAATGCAAGGTCAGAGGTCAGTGTAAACCACATCACAGCTGTTAGTGATTCAGTGTCTTGCTTAAAGCCAAACTCTGTTATAAGCCTGGCATCCATGTTTCTGTTGATGTGTTACATGTGATTGAATTTCACCAAAGCTGGAACTAATAACCAACTTCAATCTTGCTTTTTTTACAGTGCATTCCGAAATGGCGCCTTACAAAAAATAACTCAGACTACTGAAAACATATTTTGTTCATTGTTCTTGCTGTGTTGTTATTGAGACATGGTACAACATGAGAATGTTATGATCAAATATCACCTACAGTTTTCTAATATCTTGTCTGTTGCTCAATCCCTTCTCTTTACTCTTTGCTGGTCTGCTGTATCTGTGTGGTTCCTGTTATGCTCCACATCCTATAAGGTCCTATTTCCCGACTAAGTGAGATTTATTCTGACCTGATGTGTTCATGAGCTTTAAAATATTATGAGGAAACAACTAGGACGCTACAGTGAAGATGAGTTTTCTTTGCTCAGAAGAAGAACAAAAATAACTTTGAAATCTTTTTTTCGACTTGTTTTTCAAATTTGATGCAGCTTTCACACATTAGAGCAGTCAGGAACTCATTTTTCTGTGATACCAACACCACATGAACGCAGCACAAATGCCTCAGGTTGCCCCAAAATGTAATTGTTCTTCGTTGGACCCTGCCACACCTTTTTACCAAGTTTTGGGGAAATTGAGCCAGATATCTTTCTGTAATCCTGCTGACTGACAGACAACAGAGCCAGACATCTGAGCGGAGTGAATTCATTACTAGTGACATTCAAAAGAGAGGTTGCACACACACAGGTGAGATGCATAGAACTACTGTAAAGATAGGGATACTTTCATTTAAATAATATAATAATATCGAAATGTGTTTCTACAAACTGTTGGTTCAACTGAGATTATTCTTTAACTTTTTGTGTTGTGAAAGTCTGTCATTATCTCACTTGGCATGAACGCCTGTCATAACATCTGAACTTCCCATTAATGCGAGTATAGTTGATGCCAAAGGTTTTCAGTCGGGAGAGGGGTAATAAAGCAGACTACGTGTATTGCCATCACATGATAGCTTAGAAGATAAGAAGTTTTTGTTAAGCCTCTTTGATAACTGTAACAACACTTTGGAAACAAACGCCAAGCAAAGCGTAAACTTTACACAAAATCTGAATCTCCGATTGCTTCTGATACCTGTTCAAACGAGCAACTCCAGCTGTGGAAAAAGGAGGTTTTCTATGATGTACTACAAAGTGGGGAGAGTGTTGGGCGGGGGCTTCTCTAGGCAGACCAGTGTGTAAATCAGCATTCAGGGTCAAATAAATGTAACAATCCTGAGGATACAGTACTGGATAGTGTTGAGTTAATCTAAATAATCCACGTGTAGGATGACTGCGCATAATATTTTAAAAAAAAAAATATATATTTTGTACGTTTTGATTTATTGTATTGCAATGATTGTTTACGGTTTCAACGTTTTTTGTAAATAGTCTTGTTGGGTAAAATGTAAAATATAAAAATTTGAATTCATCATAATGTATAGTAAATGGGTTTCTTAAATGGATTATATTTGTTATTTCAAGTTTGGATGTTTTATACTGTGAAACAAGTCAATTACCTTTACCCGTCTGAGCCATCAATGGCATTTGCCAGGAACATAAGACACAACAACACACAATGTTTTCAGCTTATCTTATTTACAGCAGAAGACAGAGATTTTACCTACTGATAATGCTGAGTTACAGTAGGTAAACACACACACACACACACACACACACACACACACACACACACACACACACACACACACACACACACACACACACACACACACACACACACACACACACTAGGTGCTGTCGCCACTGTTAAACAGGCCGATTCTTCATACTTGCATCACGTGTGTGTGCTTACGTAGAGTGTTGGCTCGGGGGGCTGAAGCTGGTTTGTACCAACAAACAAGAGAGATCATCCGGCAGCCGCCACATGACTGACTGTAAATGTGTTTTCACACATACTGCGTCCTCTATACAAACAACAACAACAATGTGCTAATGGAATGACTTGCATACATGGGCTGCTATGGTATGAAATGTCCTCATGAGCAATCGTTATGGAAAACAGCCCTATTTGTGTCAAGTAGCTTTGGGGGACTGTTTCTTTCAGCCCTTTCTTAAAGAAGTGCAATTAGTGCATTAACTTAGTGAAATACTCACAAAATATAACTTGTTGAGCTGGGAAAATGTAATGAGATATGCAAATGCTTGCCTCATGTACAAAATAATACACGGCCTTACCTCACCTCCGCTCAGACATGTGATCACCATACGCACACCTGTAACTAGGTCAACAAGAGCTGCAACAAGAGGAGACTGCGTTATTCCATTAAGGAAGAGTTCATTCAGCCAATCTTCTTTTTCTTTTAAAGCTGCACAACAGTGGAACTCAATCCCAGTAAAGATTAGAGAACAAAACACCTGCAGTTTATTTAAATCTACCTTAAAAACATGGTTAGTGGAAAGTCAGCTCTGTCAACACTGACACACTCTGTACATTACAACGCTCTGTTTGTACATATGCCTTGAACTGTATCTGTCTGCTTTGTGAATATGTATTTTAGTTTAGTTTTTATGTTTTTATATATGCTTTTATCATAATATAAGTATCTCTGTTGAATGTTGTTTTACTGATTGTATTTACCTGTTATTTGAAGTGAATTTTTGTTTTTAGGATGACTTTTAACATCTGTCCAGGGACTACAGACGAAAAATAGCCTGTTGGCTAACTCTGGCGCATTTACAGAAATGTCAATCAATGTGCACTGTCCCTGTCAAATAAATATATAAATAAAAAAATAAATAAAAATAAATAAAATACATCTGTAATGGAGGGCATACTTTCAGTCCAAAAACGTGCAGATTTCACTGAGTGCTGGATCAATTTAAGTGAAGGTGGGCTGAGCAGTCCAATATGCTGCATTACTGATTGATTGGAACCAACATCTGCATACTGACTATATTCTTGTTTTTAGTACAATATCAGTGACAAGTAGCACACTATTCCATTTCATAATTGCTTATTTCATGATCGCATTGAGTTAAGCAAGACTAAAACGAACATCCGAATGAATAATGCCAATGAATAGTTTGGCAAGATTCCAAATACATTTCTTGTGTGTCTTTTCAATACTCTTTTTTTCCATAGAAGGGCCATTCATTTCCCTACATTTGTGATTTTGCATTGATGCTGACATTTTTGCATTGGTATATTATGTTCTTCTATATTTGCAAAAAAAATTTTTAAAGCTGCCTTTCACTAGAATAATTTACAGTTACACTTGATTCAGGGTTCGCCCTGCCCTGTGTCTGCACACTGTATCTCAACCGCAGTGCTGTGAGTATGCCAAGTACACACTGGCAGAGAAAGAAGACTCCTCCTGGATGCTGGTGCATCACACTCTCACACACACACACACACACAACCACACACACACACACACACACACACACACACACACACACACACACACACACACACACACACACACACACACACACACACACACACACACACACACACACACACACACACACACACACACACACACACCACACACACACACACACACACACACACACACACACACACACACACACACACACACACACACACACACACACACAACACACACACACACAACAACACACACACACACAACACACACACACACACACACACACACAGCATGGCCTGACTCAGGGAAAAAGAGGTTTACACATAAACACACCCAGCAAAAAGGTGAATACTGACACTTCTAACCAGATGTAAACACAGGTTGTGTGCATTGTACGATGGATTGTGTAACAGTAGTATGTTTGGTAGTGCCTGTTGCTCATGAAATGACCAGTTATTAAAAGGTTACAGAAAATAATTCAAATACAAGTAACTTCACTGTGTTTCGGACCGTTTTAAACAACAATTCTGAAATACAAAACCACAAATGTGATGAATGCACATCATTTGAAATGACCAAACCTATAAAGGATACAAAGATAGGAATAAACACCACTGTCAGAGACGAAACCTGTTTTACAATCTTAACTTTGATTTGCCAATACCATGAGTGCAAAGAGGGCAGAAGCAAAAGGAACACATCAAACTGGCACATTAACAAGACGGTGTCTAAGAAGCTCTGTCCAACCGGTTGATAACAGCAGGCTTGTGTCATAACGACAGCTAATCATGACCTTGTGGAAACCCAAATCACTGTTATTGCTTTAGGTTGAGTCATGTGACACATTATAGACAAGGTCAGACTAAACCCCGGCGGTCATAAAGCACTTGATTCTCTGCCGTCTCCTCAAAACTGTTATCAAGTCTTGTGATTACCGGGTCTGTTGCACACCATCGTTAAGTAATCCCATATTTCTGTTGAAGTCATCCCCACCTTGACCTCTGTGATAAG